TATGCCTGTGTGTTGTATTGTGCAGTGTGGTGCAAAAAAGAACGAAAATCAACCTCGATTGTCTTTGCATAGGTTAGTAAACAGTTTTCATCAAATATTACTTAGAATAATCCACATAGATAGAAAAAAATGTCACGGGCACTTTAATCTATTGCCAAAGTATGTATATTTACTTTTATTTCTGTTTGTGAGACAGTTTTAGTAAAAAATTGTTGTTTACAATAATATGTCAATATGGCATAGTTACGTACCATTTCACAAAAGTATCGATATAATTTCCCATTTAAAATTCAAAATATATTATACTAAATAATCTATTTTAACAATGGATGTTTCCGCAGTTTTGTGTAACGCTAAAGTAAAACGTCAGTATTTTGGTATTGGTTTTAGTTACATAAGTAGAAGTTCAAATTATCATGTTTTATAATTATTCGGGCGCGATTGACAGAGCGGCGTTGGCGACGACCCCAGTGCGACCACCAAGCGTAATAATAAAAAGTGAGATACATACAATAAGATTGACTTCACTACTTATCTATTTTGATTTGAAATTGTGCGCGAGCACTTCACAAATACCCACAGGTTTTCCACGTATGTAAAGATAAACATTTAACAAACACTATCTTTTTCTATTTCACCATTTCATTAAACGCTGTTCATAAACACAGTCCTATTTTTTTAAAAGACGCTTTACGTAGAATTATAAGAGTACACATTCGACTTGAGAAAATCATTAGCCAATCAAGAGACCTAGGTAACCCCGGGTTACGGGCTCTAGCTAGGCCGACGGCAAAGTAGGAACAGGAGTTGATTTTAGTCAGTAACGGTCTGTCACGAAAAGGGCCGGAGATGACATTAGATGATTTCCCATAAAATATACCGTTAATCAGCTGGCTAATCCCTAAAACTATACCTACGTAGAACTTATACTCAAATTGTATCGATACTCGTTAAATACTTAGTCGGCACAACCCTAGCAACGGCAGCCATCTTATGCGAAATTTTGGATTGTAGGTAGGCACCTTTTTTTCGTAGGTATTTCAAGTCCATATATTTCTGATTCTGATTTTTATTTATGATTTATTTTTTCCCTGACGTTAATTGTTGGGAAAACTGTCAAGGTTTCGTTCTTCGACAGCTTCACAATTTTGACACTTGAGGCGCTAGTTAGAATATTTGCATCGCCAATAGTGATGGATGTAGGGGTCCATGCCCTACAACCAACACTATTTGCCCCCCGCCCGACGGGTATTAGCCCGCCAGATGGTAAGGCGGGCCCCGTTACTGCGGCCGCCACCCCGACCGCAGGACTCTACTATGAGGCGCGCGCGGAACACGGCGCCGCCGCCTCGAGGCCTGCTGCTGGTCAGACGACAAGACGCCCCGAGTGTGTCGTCCACAGGCCGCCCCTAAGAAACGGGTGGGTGTCCCCAGCTTACGTCAGAAAAACAAATGGCTATACCTACTAATTTGTTAAACTTATTGGGTTGTTGTTTTTGTCATGATAGAATTATTTTTCAATGGTTAAGTTTTGATATAGATGGCTAAACTTATTTGGTTTTAGTTTTTGTCATGATAGAATTATTTTTCAAAGTTTTGAGTTAACATCCCTCAAGAAGAAAATTTTAAACACGGAGAGACATTCAATGATTTTATAAATTTTATTAGCCCAAAATTATAAAATTACGCCTTTCCATCTTTGGCAGCGTTAAGTTAAGAAACAACAAAAAACACCAGGCGTTGGTAGACCAGTTTTTGGCAATCACTGATTATGTGCTTTGGATCCGGTGTGACCTCAAGTGTGTGACTGTAACAAAGATATTGATGTAGACAAGATTGTGCACTTCAGCAAAAAAAAAAAACGAGCCGAGCGAGATGCTCGTAAATAGGGTTGCGTCCTTTTCTACTAGAGTGACTACACAATTTCATCTTCCGCGGACAACGGCTAAAAAACAAAATATTATTTATTAAACTATTATTAAATAACTTTAATTACTGCGAGGTAAAATAAATTCATGCGTGTAAGATAGGGAAAGAGGCGCGTCTGTGATGGCCATTTTGTGCGAATCGACGCAACTGTGTCGCTACTTTCTGGGCAGTCCGCGCAATATCGGCGCGTGTACTTAAAATAACAATATCTCAAATGTTTTGTATAGGACCTTATGTAAAACTTATATCATTGGAATCGTAATGAAACAAGCTCCCATTTGAAATTCAGATTAGTCCAGTTTTATTTTGTAATATACAGTATGTATGAACGAGGGACTTATTTAAACCCCCAATAGTTTAGGCATAGACTTCACCAATAAACATATAAACAATAAAAACCCTGATGAATGACGAACAAAACCGTTCCAAAAAAGTGGTAAACATTTCGCAACGTTTCGACACCCTAGCGCTTATCGCAGACGCCGACGACGTAGGTATGAATGCATTTCCCTTCATACTTTAAATCTGGCTTAGGACAAGCAAAAATATCTAGGTACATCAAACAATAAACATTATTCAATACAAACTTTCATAAGACGTGATGCATCATCGTAGTTTTGGCGTATTTAAAAAATGAATGTTTGGGTACTCACGTACGCGCGATAGTAGGCGGGCGCTCCGTCATGTTGTTAGTACAAGTTCTGGTAGATATTTAAAGGCACTTTTTCCAGCATTTCACTCACTACTACATTATTTAAAATGTTTTAATACCTACGATACACTGTCAAGTCGTCCATCAATAAAATAAGGGCCTATTAAATTGTTATTTAAAATACCTGCCCACACATTTACACTAAAGCGATGTTTGGTGGATGGTCATGAAATTAACCCCAAGTTCCTGCATGGATCTAAAATGGAAGGGTGCATGTCTTCGTTGTGCAGCAGCTTCCACACAGTCATTTGTGATACACCAAAACGCCTTGCAGCATTTCGAGTACTTTCTTGTGGGTTTTTTTCGAAGTACTCGAGAATGGCGTGTTGTAGGTCTACTGGGTATGGTGCTGCTCCTCTTCCTTGAGCATGCGTCGGCACGGTAAACTGACCATAAGTTTTTAGACACTGGTTGATACCTATCATCAAACTGTATGATGGTACAATCTGTCTGTTGGGGTACATTTCTCTGTATAAATTAATGGCAGCTCGTACACAATCATTTGATAGCGCGTAGGCACGAACCATATCCTAATATTTTTCAATACTTTTTTGAATACTGAGGCGTCATTATTACACTACACGCACTACTTAACACTAGTAAATAAACTTTACGTAAATTTGGTAAACGGGGATGTTTACGCAATGCGGAAGCGGCGGCGCGTCCGCGTTATCTGGCGGTCAGCGGAGCGGGGGGGGCGCGCAGGGTGCGTGCGAGCCGGCCGATACCTACATCTTCGGCGCAGTCGGCGACATAACAAAGGAAAGGGGCGGGGCTTACTCGCTCGCTTCCTTAGCGACAGGAGCGGCACGTGTTTGGCGCGTTATGTAGGCATTTTACTATTTCCGAGTTCGCTTTGCGCTCTGTGTTTATGGATACGGTATTTTATCGGACCGTTAGATCAAAAATTAATGTCCTAGTTTTTTTACATATTTGGGTCGAGAATCGAATACTGACCACCCTCCTTCAATAAGTCCGTCGTTCAAATTTACATACTGTATAATTAATTGTGCTTTGAAATCAGGTTGAGTTATTATTTTGCCAGTTTATGGTACAAAAGTCGTTATAATTAATTTTATAAACAGTTATTTCCAAAAGTTTTCACTTTTTCAAATAAATACACAATTTGACTTCACATTAATTAGTAAAAAAACACCCCTCGCCATACATTTTTTGTTACACAAACGAGGCGTTTTAAGTGACCCGAATGGTCAGTCAAAAAAAAAGCTTAAGTTAATACTTCAGTTTCGAGAAAACGTTAAGCCAAGTGGTCTGGGTTGTTGACTTATAATTTAGTGTAGTAAACATAAATGATTATCGCATGCCCAGCAATGATTTTAAGTTATTAATTCTTTCATTTCGTCTTTTTAGCTGTTGAGATAAAGTTTTAATTTCACGACGAAGTTTCTTTTTTCTCGGCTACTCGCTGTACTCGTAGTTTGTGTCGACGCACTTTGTTTCAATTTCATCTTACGATGGTTTTGATGACGTTCCAGGGTCTTTACGCAATGGTCGACTGGTCGTAATATAACTCAGTACTTGCACTTTTTAATACCCAGGTATTCTCTATAAAACGAAGCAATGAGTGGTTACTGCATTTTTTAAAGACAATCATCACAGTAGTAGTAGTTTTGGAGTCGTTAAATCAATAGGTGTGTTGGGCTAAGTACACACATTCTACTTTAAAGAATTATTTAATTTAAAAATAATTTAAATAATTTAAAATGCGAGTGTAGAAAGAAAACCAAAATATTTTTCATGGACACCCTACTTATAACATAAACAACACATCACCAGAACACGTTCCTATGGAAAAATACGTTGCATCCTTTGTCTGATTCACTTTTGCATCATTTGACGCAACAAGTGAGACATTTTTATGAAAAATATCACATAAATCACCGAAATTAGGCAAAAGTAAAAATAGAGCGTCTCAGCTGTTTCTCAACAGAATAATCGCCATATTGGTTGAATGTATTACGCCCAACACCATTCTTCAAATTACTACCATAATGCCGAGCTTCAAGCAAATACCAGTAATTCGCTAGGTTTTAAACAACAAAAAGTTGGACAAAATATGTGTAAAATAATCTTTCAAATTACATTCGATGATTTTATTCTTAGATACTTACTGAAGCAAGAGTAAAAGAATATTAAATTCTACTACACCAAAAAATATTTTACGGTTGCAACCCATTAGACAAGGACGCAATCCTATTTACGAGCATCTCGCTCAGCCCGTTTTTCCGTATAACAAGATAGTTAAAGATAAACGACTTTATTGACTTGGCGGTAAAATTCATTTCAAGTTGACAAGAATTTCATAGTGCACATCTGTTGTCTATTTAAGATCTTTGGACTGTAAACGTTCCTTTGTCAAGAGATTCAAGAGTAATGTCAATGTCACTTTGATCAACATCAAACTTCTAAGTTATCAAACGTCAAACGTCGTCAGTCTGTCAGTCATCCATCATTTGAATGAGTAGCGCATTCAGTCCATTGGTTATTGTCGTATTTAAAATAATTTATTTGTAATTTCCGGGCTTAAGTTTTGCTGTTAATCCAGGCAAATAATTAACTTAGAAGTAATTGTATTAAATACTAAACCAATCATAATGGTAAGAGCTTTAAAATCAGTTTACAAGATAAGGACAGTGTTCTCTACCAATGAATACAATTTTTAATTTTATTCTATTTTTTAGCACGGTCGAGTAAAAGTACGTACTACAGAGGAGGAACGGGCAAGAAAAGAGAAAGAACGCCAAGAAAAGCTTAAAATTTATAAACATGCGATGCAACAAATTTTTCATAAGGTGTGTTGTATTTGAGTGTTTTGTAAATATGTGTATTTGACTGGCTTAAGTCTTTACAAAGTAATCTGTTTTTCAGAGAAAAGAAGGAGAACTGGATAAGAACCTGTTAGAATTGACTGGAAAAGTTTTATCTTCAAATCCAGATATTTATACACTATGGAACATAAGAAGGGAAATTCTTATAATTTTGAAGTAATTGTCTTTGTTGTGTTTACAAATATAATTTATATGTGTCTATTAATTTTTATGTAGTATTTTTAAATCATTAAGGAGACTTTTTAAGTAAATTTTCTGTACTGAAACTGATAAGTATGCATATTTGATTAGTATTGCATCATTATTTAACTTAATTTATTGAATTATAATACATTAAGGAATCAATGGTTTCGTTAATACATTGCAGAAAAAGTGATGAAAGTGAAGAAGAGTTGTCGCAGTTGTATGATGCTGAGCTTCAGTTAACTGAGTATTGTCTGAAGATAAACCCAAAATCTTACTGTGCATGGCATCAAAGAGAATGGGTGCTCACAACTAGAGCTAATCCCAACTGGGAGAAGGAGCTGTCACTTTGTAATATGTACCTAAAGTTAGATGAAAGAAATTGTAAGTACAGTCTTTGCAATTAATAAATATATGATACCTTTATAGTGCAAATATATATGATGTTAGTATTATTGCACTAGAAGTGCAAGTCTCTCACTGATAGATCTCTTCTACCTACTATAGGTCCTATTTATTTACTACTAATGACAGTCTATGAATTCTCTATCAATATTTGTGTAACATCTAGATTTAACTAATCCTATTTATAAGTTAACCAATTGACTGGTTTCTATTGTCCTTTTAGCTTTGTGAAAGTAAATTTGATATGACTTTTTTTCAGTCCATACATGGGACTACAGAAGGTTTGTTGTCAGCCAATGCAAGCCGCCACTGAAGGATGAATTTGATTTTACAACTGATAAACTAATGGACAACTTCTCCAATTATTCTGCCTGGCATTATAGAAGTAAAATGCTTGTGGAACTTTACCCTGATGTAGAAGGTTAGTTGCTTGCTATATGTCTTTTTATGTGGTATGGCAGTAAACAGGCCTATAGATGGCACCACCTGCGAATACTTGCAACACCAGTGAAGTTGCAAATGCATTGCCAGCCTTTTGGGGACAAAGAGTTTTAGGGCTTAAAGGACTGGAGAGGGTAGGGGGTGGAAAGTAATGGCCTCAGGTAACCTGATTCAAATGACAAACACTATTATGTGGTTATTGTTTCACGGTGTTATTCTACAAAATTCAAAGCATGGCTCTCCCACACTTATATTTTAGAGACCAATATTCATGTTACAATATTATTCAAGACAAAATTTTGATTTAATTTTATGTGAAGACAAAATTTAATTTTATGTGTAAACCTCTTTTTTTCCAGGTGGGCGTCCTATTGAGGATAGCCATCACAAACATGAGTTGAAAATGGTGCAGAGTGCAGCATTTACTGATCCCGATGACACTAGTGCATGGTTTTATCAAAGATGGCTGCTTGGTAATGAAAATTATTTATTAACTGTTTGTGTTTTCTACCTGTTTTTAAATTGTCAATATATAGTACCATTTGTTAAAATAGGTCCATATCTGAAGAATGCTCCAACTGCCGGTAGCTTGCACTATATTAGAAATATTTAATGGGCTATTTAAAATTATTTCTTATTTTGTGTTACAGGTGCAGTCAAAACAAACATAGAGGTTGCAGTTTATACAGTATCGCCATTGAAAACAACAGTAGCATTTAGTAAACCAGTGGATGAATCTTATGTTGCCACCAAGATCCGATTATTTATCAACAATGAGTTAGTAAATGGTAAATGGCAGTCTTGTTCAGGGAATCAATATGATGTTCTGTGGATTTTCAAACATAATACTGAGGTCACAGACAGTTTAGATGTGAAGGTAATATTTGTTAGTTTTCGACTACAGCTTTTCTAGTATCTGCTATACTGCAATAACTTTATTTTTAAAAATCCTAACTATTCTTCTCTGTAAAAAAAAATTAGATGCATCACCTACCATCCCCTTCTGCTTATCCCAAAGACAGCATAAGTTTAAATATATATGTAATCAAAGTGATATCCAAATGTAACATGAATATTAACATAACACATGCTTTCTAATTTAATTAAATATCATATAAATTGGTTAAGTGATTATCAGAGATAGTATAATAATTAAGCTCTTTCTATTGATATTGTTTGGAGATCATTAGCCATCTAAACATCTGTTCATGTTTCTAAATTTTTCAGATGGAGTATGACAATGAAAATGGAGATGTTCAGAATATTCCTAGTGTTAAACGAAATGGTAACACCTATATTGGTAAAGGAGAAATCGATTTCCAAAGGAAATATTCAAAACCAGTTATTGAAGAACTGATTAATCAATTGGATTCTTGTCGCCAATTGTTGGCAATGGAGCCTGATAATAAATGTAAGATCATTTAAATTAGTAAAATGCTAACATATACTTACATGTTTGATTCAGAAATTTTGTAGAATTACTTCCAATTACCAATTTAAAGAAAAAATAACTATTATGTGATAAAAGTTTATTAAAATATTAACATAGATAATAAAAAGTAATACAATACTGTTAGCTAATCTAAGGGACTCCAATTGAGATTCCTTTTGGCAGTTTTCGTTTTAAGACCACTAACTAATTGGATCATGGGTCATATTGTTAATCTATGAAAGTATACTAATCAGGTAATAAACTGTCTGAACTTATATTAGGCACGTATCTATAGTCACAAAATGTGTCGCTATCCAGTTTGATTCGTAATTTGTAATATTTTGCAGTCTTGTCAAGTTTTATATCCAATTAATTATCTGGTCGAATCACACATTTTTAAATTTCAGGGACTCTTCTTACAACTACAGTTTTTCTACATTGTATTGATGCAAAGCAATATCACAAGGAAAGTATTGATAACCTACATACATTGAAAAGTATAGACAATTTGAGAGCTGGATACTATGATGATTTGATCACTAAATGGAGTTTGGAAGATCAACTCATAATGGACTACAAAAATGATTCTTTGGATTTCAAAATAAAGTTCGATGATAAAATCACGAGTTTACCTCACTTGCAGTACTACAGTCACTGTGAAAATGTTGATCTATCTAATCAGAACTTATCGTCTAATGTATTAGCTTCATTAGAATTGCTTCAAAATTGTAAGGTAAGAATGACCTAGCATTTAAGTCAAGTAGTATTTAAAAATTGTTTAAGCAGCAAGATGATAGTGATTTATACAGTTTATAATTGTAATGAATAGTGGTAAACAATGTATGTATACTCATCACAGACTGACTGAGACATCTGCAACAAATCAGCTATTTGCTATTATCATACTTTTTTATTTATTTTTTCAGAAACTTTCGCTGGCAAACAATAGTCTTACAACTTTGCAGAGATTCCCTAATCTAAATCTAGAGGAATTAATTTTAACAGGAAACAAAGATTTAGATCAAGAGGAGTTAGAAGCGTTCAAGAAAAATTGTGATTATTCCATAATATTCTGAAGTATATGTTGAAACTGCATGGTGGTAAATATAATAATAAATTTATACACAGTGAAATTTATAATATAAATCTTATACTTATTACTTTTTTAGTTTTAAAATGAATAAGGTTACAATACGGACTTTGCAACACAGAACGCAATTATGAGGCGTAGGTCAAGCAGAAACTATTACTAGGCAAACATCATTTTAACGCTAGGGGAACGAGTGAACAGAAATGAAAAAATGAAAATGTTGAGAATATGATTTATATTAGTTTTCAAAGATTTTTGATGATTTTGCGTTTTATGGTACTTTCCGATATTCCGCACAAAATGTCTAGAATAATTACGAATATTTTGCGATATTTCATTATAAGTATTCAAGATTAAATTATTTTACTGCGTAAAATACCCACTTGATAGAGATACCAATTATTTCAAATCTCTTATATTTTCTACTAGCGTTAAAAGCAATTTGTCTATGGGGTAACTTTAGATAAAAAAGTTTTGCACTTTATTTTACTGTACTGTTAATATTTGTGTAACTTTTAAGTGGTAAACTGCCTTTGTTAGCAACATTACTTCCATTTAATTGCGATCTATGTAGTACAGTCTTGTTTGAACAAAATATCTACCTATATAAGAATTTAATAATTACTCCTTTGGACAGAAAATAAGTGCCTACATTAATTTTTACAAAAATACATGCTAAAAGTGACATAGTGTCATTGATTGGGTCATCAAACAACTGTAACACTTATATTTATTAGAAAAATATACCTACCTATGTATTATCGAAAAAATGTGTTCAACATAAAAAAAACAACATTAACATATGACAAAACAATATTTCTTTAAACTTAAATAACTTCCAGATATAAATCTTATTCATGTAATTATCTTATTCTTAGGCTCTAGTTCACCAAGACAGATATTGACTTGTTCACTGATGGTGAACAAGTCAACATTGATTCAGGGAGGTTACCATGAAATGTAACTTAAATAGCTAGTTAATAATATTAATCAATGGTTGTGTTGGTGAACTCAGGTCTAAGTTATAGTTTTATATTATTGCTAATGCATATTTCAAGCTATAAGTACTATAAAATCACTTTCTAAAGTTTTTGTTTTATGTAAGTACATAACATTTTGTGATCATATTAAATAAACAGAGATTATTAAATAAACAATATAGTTACTGAGTAAAAACCTAATGTCTGGACTCTAATTGCCTTTTTCACAATGCTCAATTATTTTGCTGTTTGCTACTGGCCACATAATTTGACAAGGAAAACATGGTAAAGTTGATCTGTCCATTACATACACAGAACCTGGTTTGAATGTTGTGAATCAAGCTTCAAGTGTAGATTATGTCATTATAATTATTTACTGCGAAAGTATTGTTTACTGCTAAGTGGTAACACTAAAGACTCAACTTGCTTTACACATTACAATTAGCTTTTGTCAAATATGACTAACTATGATGTAATTATTGCTTCAATTTTATTAGTATGTAAGTTTAAAAATTTAGCGCCATAGATTATATTCAAAATACATTTTGATTTATAATTTACTTTTTGTTTATTTCATGTTATAATATTTATTACTTACTTGGGTATTTTAATGTGTTATATAAAATATATCTGTTATGGTTTACAGTACACCTAATATAGACTTACCCACTATTAATAAATTGTTGTCATATACAACTACATATAATTGTAAAGGACTTTTAGCAATGTACAGTTAGAGTAGACAGTAAATCTAATCTACTTAAATTAAATTGTGGTAAGTTGTAACTGCATATACCAATGGTACCAATTAGATAGGTAATTAAAAGTTACATTAACTTGCAAAAAGTCCCAACAATACATTGATATGATGAAAAAAAATATATATAGTGCTGTGACATTTCCAAATAATAAGACAACAGCTTTAATTTCAGTTATTGATTAATTTATTCATATGATTTTACTATCATATTAAATGCTATTTACACGAGAATAAATTATTATGAGAAACGTGACTGTTTAAATTTTGTACCCTCAATAAACTTACCATATTTTAAGCTTCTTAAAAGTTTCAACTACCTCAGCAACTGGTTTTAAATTTTTATCTTCATCCCAAAATAGTTTACCACATTCTTCACACAAAACTGCAGCCTTTTTAGAGGCTGTAAGTTCACTTGCATTATGTATTTCTATCATAACACCCTTACTTGTAGTTAAATTTGGTTTGGAATAAACAACTGGTTGATATAAATCTAAGTCATCACAATCGGAATCACTAAGAAAATTGTCACAGTATGACATGTCATCTTCTTCATAACTATATCTGTCTGCATAATTAACATTATTGGTTACCATCATTCTTTGGTATTCCGTACACATTTTGACAACATCATCTACATTTAACTTTTTCAAGTCTTTACTGTTGCAATTAATACAAATGCTGAAAAGATTCTCTTGTTCCACTTTTATATTGTAACTATTAAATATTTTCCTTAACTGTTGTACAACAGTATCCTTTCCAACTTGTAAAATTGAACTCTGAGGGAAGTTATCAGAAGGTGTATGTTTCAATTTAGATACTAGGACTAGGCGTTCTTCTGATTTTGCCAGATTTATAACATCATGCCATAGCATTGTTGATGGCATTCCAGTTGTGTCTATTCCACAATATCTTAGATAAGGCATTAAATAAGATAACAAGGGTTCCACTAAGAACTTCACCTCATGAACTGATCTTGATTGTACTACTGGCACACTAGACTGCAGCCTGTCCACAACTTTTACTTTCTTTGTGCATTTCTTTTTACTTTCTAACATTACATCATTGCATATTTCCTCAAAATTAATTTGTTGCTCTAAGCAGAGCTTTTGAAGGTATTCATATAATTGTATAAGCACATGTGCATCAAGAGCTGCATATTGAATTTGGGTACTTCTCAATGGCCTGAGTTCCCAATTAGAGCATTGTTCTGATTTTTCAAGAGGTAAGCCAAAACATATTTGTACTAGGCAACTGAGACTATTCCCTGCAGTAGCACTGGTACCAGGCAATGAAAGACCATTATTAAGAAGACTCTTCCACAGAGTACCTAGATCCAATAGCCCTTCACCTTGTACTTTGATGTTTCCCAGTCCTACTACACATGATTTTATCTCTTTTAAGTCTTGTTCTAGTCCAAATCCAACTTTGATTATCTCAGCATTATCCAGAAAAGATTTATGAAAAGTGTACCAAAAGCTTATGTACTCTGGTTTATTCAACTGTAAAGTATCTATGAGATGAACTTTGTTGGTAGTAGCAATTTGTATTAATGCTACTTGAGATTGTGTAGCACCAAATGATGGCTTCCATTCACAATCAATGCTGACAACACTACTCTTTACAATATCTGATATCATTAGATCATAGAATTTCTCTCCGGTGTCTATGATTGTTACCTGATCTTCCTGTAAACACAATTTGTAATATTCTTGGGGAGTTTGTGAAGCTTCATCAGTGGTGTCCCAATTTTCTTCTTCAATATTGTCATTTAAAGACAACTCTTTAAGGTCCTGAGGTAACTCACTCTCTGCCATATTCAAATATGCAGCCCACTTTAGAGCTTCATTCCGATCATACTCTGCTAACATTTCAATGAATTCTTGACCAGAGCTAGCATTTTGCTTCAGTGAGTCTTTCACTAAATCTTCCCAGACAGATGAACTCACATTGTGTTCTTGATATTTTTGATGTATTAAATATCTCAAACCACCAGTTATACGATTTTTACTGAGATTCTTACAAGTTTCTATAGGAATGTTAAACTTATTGCATAGGCGGGCCACTAGTTTGCCCAGAGGCTTGTAGTGTAGTTTGTCATATCTAACATGAGAAATTTTATTATCAAGAGTATAATTGTGTACATAATCTCGAATACTAATTGATTTGTCTAATAATTCATCTAGAAATATTAATAAACGCTTCACCTGATTGGGGCATTCATTGAGATACTCATCAACCAGATTTGATTTATCTTGCAGAATCAGGGGAAACACAAGTTCCTCTACAGGTATGTCATCAAATAACTCCATGCAAATAACAATTTGAGATGCTTGCTTGCAATTGTCTTTACTAACCATATCTTTTACAATAGGCAGAATTTGATCTTTAATTGTAATTAATTTGTATGTTTTTACCATTAGGCCCAGGAAATTGTTATTTCTCTGTTGGACAGCTATATGAAATGCTGGCAATTTTAAATTTTCATCTGGCATAATCCCACTTATCTCTGACCATTTCAGTAAAGTTTCCACAATGAAGTATGGTAAAGTTTTTGGCTTGCAATCTTTGTAATCATCACATTTAATCACAAAAACTAATGTTACTCTGTAGGGTTCCGGTGAGCACTGAAGAAATGTTTTGATATGAGATTCAATGGCTGGACTCTTTTTCCATGTCTTCCAAGTTAATCTTAACTGTTCTAGCCATAACTTGGAATTGTCATCAAGATCCACATTAAGACCAATGGCCTTCAACGAATCTTCTACGGAGGGAACTATTTTGATGGATTGATTCTTACTGACTAGTTTATTAATATCCGTTGTTGTTGTTATGTCCATTTTATTATTTTCTTTAATTCTTGGTTTCAACTTTGGTCAATCTTCATGACATCAGTTAGAAATAGGAATTGTTCGTTAAAAATCTTTATCTTATGCTATTGAACACAACTACTGGTAGCAAGATCTTAATTACTATTATCGTACGTAATTTACTCGCAACTATAATAAATAATGAAGGTAGTAAGGTACAATATTCTCTTTATTATAATCTAGGTAATGTTTTGTCTCGTCTCATCGTCTGTCATTGTGACGTGACGTAACGAACATAATGTCATGTTTTTATTATAAATATATAAGTATCAGAGGTACCTAAATATCAGAGTACCTAGCAGGTATTGCATAAATAGACTGACCTAACCAATTCTACACTTTTGGCATATTATTTAAATAAATTAGGTTATTAAAATATCACAGGTCCCAGTTAAAATTACCATAATAGTCCAATTACAAGGACCTCTAAATAACAACCTTTTATGTCGTTGTCTGTTAATCAATGAAAATAATAATGTTATTTTAAATATCTTAGGTATGCATACTAGGTAAAACAATTTATGTAAATAACAGGTAGTACCAAGCTGTTATTTTGTAGCAGTAAAAATTTTGGATTTGTTCTTTCGAAAAATGACTGAAAAAGGTTTAAATTATAAAAAAGCCCATCAATCTCGGAAAAAATATGATTTTTTATTTAATTACCACGTTATTACACAATCTACACAAAATTATGTATATTCATAAAAAAATAAAGAAACACTTTTTCATTACTGTATTGTAGAAAGTAGTTTTATAGTATTGACTTGGCAACATTGTTGTACACAGTGACTTTTGTTTTTGCAAGTTGTAGAAGAAGGTGAATGAGACAAGAAATTTATTGTGATTGAGAGTTTTGTGGATCGTTATTCATCTATAGTAAAATAGTGATTCTAATTACAAGTTTTTCTACAATTTACAATCGAAGATGGAGCTCTCCGCGGAAGGTAAAACCCCCGAATACATGGCGTTGGCCGGAATCAAGTTCAAGCTTAGTTTGCCACACTTAAAAGATGATCCGCAGCTGAAAGAACAACTCTTGCAAGGAATAAAGAATGGACACATGGCTCCTTATTATAAAGAAGTTTGTACCGACCTTGGATGGAAATTCGACCAGAAGTTGTATGATGATATGGCAAAAGAGAACCAGGACAGGTTATCCAAGTTTCAAGAGGATGATTCAGAAACTCCAGTATGGCAGGACAGGTGAGTGGAACTTCCCTTGTCAAATATCCTGATTTAGTACTTATTTTCCTATCATCCTTGTGCTGAACTGTATTACAACATATATATATATTCTTTACTTGGTAGAAACTGTTTATTTTGTAGTCTGATGTAAATGTTTTTCATTACAGGCTGGATTATCTTTGTTCCATCGGGGACAAAGAAGGCGCAACTGCCCTGGCAGTCTCAAAATATGAGGATTCTACCCTAACCACAAACAGACGCTTGGATGCAGTCTTTGCTTTGTTCAGAATTGCCTATTTTCATGGATGTAATGTTAAAGAAATGGGCAAAAACATAAATAAGGTATAGTCTTCAGTTATTTAATTTAAATTTAATCCATGGTTAATCCATGGTTTGATTTTGTCCATGTAGACAACAAATTGTTCTTCGTACACTGTGGTTATTTAATTTTAGCTTCCAGAAAGGTATGGTTTGATTTCTTATAATTATTTTGACTAGGTACTACTTAAAAACTAGTTAAATTAATTGCTATCTAAGTAACTCTCAATCACAATAAATTTCTAGTCTCATTCACCTCCTCCTACAACTTGCAAAAACAAAAGTCACTGTGTTTAATATTGAAAATGTACAATTAATCACACTTTTTGATAATATCAATAATATTGTTGTCATTGTAATAGTTCAATCTAACTATCCAATATTTTTACCACTGCTTCGAAGCCACATATAGAGTAACTAAATTAAAAGTCTCATAAAATGCTATTTTTTTACTTTCAGGCACATGAGCTTGTAGACAAAGGTGGAGACTGGCGTTCCAGGAATAAGCTGAAGGCATACGAAGCGATCTATTGCCTTGCAGTCAGAGATTACAGCAAGGCTGCAGACTTGTTCATTGACTGTGTATCCACATTTGAATCTTATGAACTTGTTGATTTTGGTAAGCATTTTATTGTGTCACTCTGAACTATATTTTTCACCTGATGATGAATTTTTGTGGCACAGTCTTTCTACTTTCATTGGGCATGTAGAAGGTTGTGTATATAAGGTTACAAAATCTTCCTCTTTTTTGCGGATTGTTATCCTGTTAAGTGAGCCTGCCTGCCACTCAAGTTTATTACTACTCTGTAAATACTGATAAAAAATTTGTTGAATTATCTGAAAAAGAAGACTCTAAAAGATAGTGTAAGATGAAACTAGAGTGGTATTTTATTAATTTTTTCGAATATTTCAGGTACCATTATTCAATATTGTGTGTTGGCTTGTGCATTGGCACTGGAACGTCATGCTCTGCAGTCAGCTCTGAGGCGCCAGGGTGCTGCCGTGCAGGCTCTGCGCTCACGGTTCCCAGAGCTGAGAGAACTTGTAGAGTCACTCCATGAATGCCGCTATGCTGATTTCTTAAAGAGTCTTGCTTGGGTATGTTTTTTGTTTCTAAAAATTATATTAAAATTATTTCTTAATATTTGTGCAGCCAAGTAGGACGGCAATGACAGTGATACAGTGTCAGTTAGATAGGTATTTATAAAACAATGTTTCTTGGTCTTGGTGAGTTATAAGAAATGACACACTATAGAGTGTGTCATTTCTTCAGACAACCAACAATTTGTTGTGTTTTATGCCTCAGTTTCATACCCATAGGGCCTTTATGGAGGCTTCTTCTTATTTGTAGTTATTTGTGTTCTGATAATTATTTTCTGTAACTTACTATAGGATTGGTATTTGAGGATTATTACACACTTTCTTTTGTTTATTTAATAGGTGGAGACCCAAATCTGTGTAGATCCAGTATTTAGGCCCCACTACCAGCACTACGTGCGCGAGGCCCGCATCAAGGCGTACGTTCAGCTGCTGCGCGCGTACCGCTCGCTCAGTCTGGACAACATTGCTGATACATTCGGCGTCTCCCGTGAGTTCGTCGAGGAAGAGATCTCCAAGTAAGTATTGTTTGTGTTGGTACTCGGACGTTGTAGGAATCGCTGTTACGCTGTTAAGAATTTTGCTAAGTATTCGTTTTTTAGACATTCAAATATTTTCTGAACAACTATTAGATCACAGGTTGAGCTACGCTTACTAGGGTTGTCTGCAGAGGGCTATAAAACTTAAAAGATACTAAACTGTTATTGCGAGGGTAGAAGACTGAACAATCTCGTAATCCCTCAAATCTATTTGCACAGGTAGCATTTAGAGAAAAGTCTAATGCTTTGTAGTATAAATCATACTTCTTTCTCGTAATCGTCACCATCAACGACAGAAATTTTGAAGGTACTATAAACCAGTTTTTTCATTATATGTGATAGGACGGATTACCTGATGGTAAGCAATCAGCGACAATCTGCGCCGCCCAAAGAAATCTGCAACAACACGGCAACCACGGCCTCACAGAAAACCGGCGTGAAATAACCACTGTGTTGTGTTTCGCCGTGTGAGTGAGGTTACCGGAGGCCCAATCCTTTCCCTTCCCCAATCCCTCCTCAATCCCTAAATCTCTAAATCCCTAATCCCTAAAAGGTCGGCAACGCACTCGTAACTCCTCCGTTGCGAGTGTCCATGGGCGGCGCTGATTGCTTACCATCAGGTAATCCGTCTGCTCGTTTGCCGACCAATTATATAAAAAAAAAAAGTTACGACTGCTCTACCTTTTGGTGTTTTGGAGATTTTAGGGATTGGGCCGGTAGCCTAACTCACACAGCGAAACACAACGCTGTAGTTGTTTCACTATACATTTTTTTTATCTTCATTTTCAGCTTCACGGCAGCGGGTCGCTTGCAATGTCGTATTGATGCGGTCGCGGGTTGCGTAGTTACGGGCGCTGGTCGGGGCGCTGATGCCGACCGCTCCCAGCTGTACCAGGCGACCATACGCGAGGGAGATCTACTTCTCAATCGTGTCAAGAAACTAGCCAGTGTCATCAACTTCTAGTGTTCATGTGTGCTTGGTAACATTATTATATTAATTATAACATTTTAAGCAATCATTGTAGTTTGTTTTACTGTATTTAGAAGTCCTATTAGTTGTTATGTAATTTGCATTGAAGAATTTGCGGTAATATATATCACTTGTAAACCATTGATTGGACAACAACAGAAGTAAAAGCAGAAGTTCTTGAAAAAATCCTAGAAAATACATAGACATCGTAAAATCAATGAGTGTGTTTATTTTTTTATATTTTATTCCATTGAAAAGTTGGCCTAACTTACTTTTGACTAAGTCAAAAACTTTAGCTTTAACTTTATATATTTCTATAAACACATAAAGTCTGAATGGTCTGTCGACCATAATAATAAAGTTTATTTTAAGCCTTCTCTTGAGCCTTTACGTATACTATGACATATGGAGTGCATAGTGCGAATGTGTTTTATTGCTGGTCTATCGACGCGTCAATGTCGTTCGGTATTTTGATTGGCCTACTCATACTTAACCAACCATTCAGAGTTCTTCGTGCAGGTTTTGCTTTAATCTGAAGGCGATTGACACGTTTATGACGTTCGGAGCTTTGATTGGCCTGCTCCAAGTTAACGAACCAATCACAGGGCTAAACGCAGTAACTCGTTTCGATAGCTTTAATGTAAAAATGAATCGTACTCAGCATTTGAATTAATCCGGTAGTCAAATTCAATAATTTTATTAAAATGTCAGTAACCATAATTTCCTATAAATTTTCGCAACATATTATATGTCATAATGTCGTGACCCTCTAAAATATATAATCTTAATGAGTTGGAAAAATTGCTAGAAAAAATCCTACCAATTAAAGTATATAGTTAAATCTACGAATGAAAGTATGTTTATATTTTAACAATTAATTGTACTAAATAGTAAAGAATTTTTTTTAATCTAGGAAACAACCCATCTTGCATGTTTATTTGTAAATAGATTTGTTGAAAACAAGTGAGTGAAAACTCTGGTCAGGCTTCAACATAGTGTGGTGATCTTATGTCTTACACAGAAATTGATTAATGAATCGGTAAAAACGTAAAAAGGAGGGGTGAAGGTTGTAAAGGAATAACAAAAAAGAAAATAATTATTAGTATAATAATTGATTTTTTAAATAATTTGAATACTTTTTGGACATTTACATAAACATTTAATAATTTACAATGATTATTTATACTGACATGACATGACACTTGATCATGACTAATACTACGCTCTAAGTTCTATTTGCAACTTGATATAATAATTAGCTCGTAGGTGCTATGAGAATTTATTCTAGACAAGTAAACTGGCACACGGGGCCTATCGCTCCGCAAGCGTTCATTTAATACTAAGAGTGTATGCATGATTTATAATTTATAAATAATTTAGTAGGACATTTATACACAGATAACTAATGTCGAAAGTATAAAATACATACATTACTGTTTAAAAAATAATTTAATTTAATAGCAACTGGACTACGGCGTCTAAGAAGCATTGAGAAAATGCATATTTGGAAAGAAATGTAATATAAATGTGTGTAGATAGTCGTGGTCAGTCTGCGTACAGTGCCGGTGATACTACTCAATACATAGTATGTTACCGTTAAGTACTAGGCGACGTCGCGTCGCAACACCAGTCGCTCACATTTTTACAAAGATATGTTGAAGTATTCTAAAGCAATATAATAGCTATGACTCTAAATACTTATAACTATAGACCTCAAATGCAAATACTTTTAATTTACATGATATGAATATGTCATTAACCTCTGTTACAATTAAATGTATTGTAATACAATATTGAATACCTTAAGACAATAGATGCATAGGTAATAGAATTTCAAGAATTAGTTTTTCGGTATTTTCATTGGTACAATATGCAATATTGTGTATTATGTTCATAACAATAACATGGAGTTACTCCATACATTTGCGGTATTATATTTAACTGACGGAAATATGGCATTGCTATCAAAGGAAACTATGAGCTGTTACAGAACTGCTGTCTCAGTAACATCAAACATTTGGAATGTGGCAAAGACAAAATCATGCATATTGCACTCCAGTTGTACAATATAATAATAATATAATATTTTATTAAATTCAAGTTTATATCTACTCATTCATTACAGTACTATTTTACAAATTATGTACATTTAATTTAAAAAGATATAGTTTTATGAAAATTATTTAATTTTTGGGATAATTTATAATTAATTTATGATGTCATAGCACATTAGAGTGTATCAATGCGACGACATCGGTTCCGGCGGACTCCCTCGGTACGTCGGACACAGCCTCCGAATGTGCACTATCACAGAGTAATGACATAAACGTGGAGCTCGCGACGAGCCTCCGATTGCCCCAGGCCCGTACTCGTGCATAATAAGTTACTTATAGTAATACTAGGCGTAATAACACGTGGAATAACAACGGTACATAGCGCTACACCTCGCACATAATTACGCTACAACAGCTCGCCTCGTCGCCGCCGCGACCAACGGTCCGCACTCTCTCACTAGACTCTAACTCTTTGTACAATGAGACTCGACGTCGTCGGGTCGGACTCGTGGAATGTAGTGGGGGCCGCTCCCGCGCTCAGACGGTGAGGCCCTCGGTGCGCGCGGGGGGCGCCAGCGGCGCCAGGCCGTGCGGGTGGTGCGGCGCCGGCGGCGACCCCGCGGCCGCGGCCGCCGCGTGCGACCCGTGCGCCGCCGCGCCGCGGTACTCCTCCTCGCGCAGCTGCCGGCTGCGCTCCGCCAGCTCGCGCCCGCGCTCCGCCAGCTCGCGCATGGCGGCCTGTCTCTCGTCGCCTCCCTCCAGGGACGGCGGCCGTTCTAGTGGCGACGCCGCACCAGGTCGGGCGCCTCCGAATGCTCCAAAACCGAGGAGTCCTGGGAATTTCCCAGCCACACCGTTTTGGCCCGCGCTCTGTTGTATTACTGATATTTCATTAAGCTGCAAACAAACAATAACATCTGTTAGATATAGTTTGGAAAATGACTGCTTTTGTTAAGCTAAGCTATGTAAAGTGTGTGTCGTATTTCAATGTTTAGTTAGTTTGTAGTACCTTTTGCTGCATGCCGTTAAGGAATGGCGCGGGTAGGTACGGGTAGAAGAGGTCAGGGCGTCTGAGCAGGTCATGTGGCTCGTGCAGTGGCCGCGGAGGTAGCTCCAGGGACATGCGCCGGCCGCGCCGGGAGGCGCCACCACTCCACATGTGGGTACCCATATGCACCTGAGAGAAGATTCAATCATTAATTTAACACAAATTCAACACCTTAAACGGATTGTTATCATAATACTGATAGTACTGCGGATTTTCTAAAACGAGAGTTAACTTGTGTCGATTCCGAATAATATCTATATAGGTTTTAGCGATTTATTTTATTGTTGGGTTAAGATAGATTAGGAAACTACGATAAGTTTAGACGAATAGCGCTTTGGAAAGGAATGGCATACATAGTTCCAGGTTAAATCCTTTATAAGGCTTCTCAATAGATAAACCGGTTTATCGGGTATTTGCTGCTTACCTTGAGGTTACCCTTCGTGGTGAAGGCCTTCTGGCAGACGGCACATCGGAATGGTTTGTCTCCAGTGTGAGTGCGCATGTGGATTTGCAGCGCAGACGAAGACGAGAAATTCTTGCGGCAAACTCCGCACAGATGCTTGGACGATGTGGGCGGTGGGGGATGCGTCGGCCCGCTAGGCACTGGGGAGAAGATAGGATAGTGAGATTTGATATTCCCAAACACTTGGTTGAAATGAAAGTTACTGTTTTTGTGTAGTTTAGGTACTTACCACTGGGCCGTTTGGGCATCGGTGGCATATCAATAGGTGGGGGATGCGTCATTTGTGGCGGCGGGTGCGCCGGGGGCGAGCGCTTGAGGTCGAGCTTGTCGGGCGACGACCGGCGGTCGGGGCTCGCGTCCCTCGTGTCGTCAGCTCCACTAGAGCTCTTGTCGAACCCAGGGGGCACGTCACGGATCTTGTGCGTTAGCATGTGCTGCTTCATGTTGCCCTGAGAACGAATCAAACATATTATTGTAATTAACATCTTACTCTCAAATAATATAACAATAACTTAACGTAAGCATGAATTAAGTAAATTAAATTCTTATAGCCAAAAGCCCAACTAAAAATGATTTAATCGATTAATTATATGTACTCAATGAAGCGTTGCATAATTGTTCATTATAAGTATTTTTATTTAATTCATTTGCAAATTGAGTTTACTATATCATTTCAATGTCAAATGCGTCACAAAAATGGGACAGTAAGCGGGTACGTGGCTTTTTAAGGTCTTATAATTATGAGAACTGAACAAAAGAACGGACTGTGTATCAGGAGCGCTTGAGGGTATTAAAAAGGGGGTCGATTGGATTGAATTAAAACTAAAAAAGGTAATGCAAATCTGGGAGGGGGGTAGATAAAACGCTCGTGATATTTGGTCGCTCCTCGGCCAGGCGTCACTCTCGCATACCGGGTAAACGAAGGCGTTCCACAGGTCCAAAGCAGTGGCGTGCGGGGGGCGGGGTGCGCGCGCGCGCCTACCGCACCGGCAACCGCCGCCACTGCTCTGGAACCACAAATACACAGGCGTTACATACGCACCACACGCACACAGCACCGTGGGACAAATACACACTGTTATATACTACCAGGTAAGGTACACACACCACTTGTTTTTCACAATTTTCTTTTACATTACACATAGGTAGGTAGGCAAACTTGACAGGTAATTTCAAAAACAAACGGTTGCATTCAAATAATAAGGGCAGAAAATTATGAAAACTAGTGTAAGTAGAACAAGAAAACACAAAGATACCAACAGTCATAATTTTAACTACTTATAAGGAAGTAAACTAAATGCACAATAGATTCATAAAGTTGACGATGAAAAGCGAGAAAATGAAATAGGTAAAAATTAAAAAGAACGTATAGGTAGACATTATTATGTCGTGACGTTATAATGAAATGATATTTCGTGACCCCATCGTCCGACGTACAGATAGAACAAAAAATAAAACACCCGGACACATTCCACTTGAAAATGTTACTTATAAATATTAATATTTAATAGTTAAATATTAATATATACTAGGTTAAATACGACCGAATGCGATAGGCGTGAACTTCATCATGAACACTCAAACTTATTCAGTAGCGACATATAATCTTGAAATATAATGAAGTAGCATGAACTTTTGACAAATTATTAAATCAATGTCACAGTAAAAAATGGTTAAACAATTATATACAAACCGTGTTATTGATTTAATACCGAAATAAATAACATAAATTAATTAAAACCGTTGATTTTCGTATAAAAGGTGGTGATTTGTATTAAATTATGAGGCCACTAAATCCATTTAATATTATTTAAGCAGCTAATTATTATTCACTGATGATATTTTTACATTTTAACTTTTAATACCGCGACGGTGACGTTTTACATTCGACATTTAAGTTACATAATAAATATATTATATATTATCTATCTAATGATGTTTTTTTTAAATAATTATCCACTCATATCCACGTGTCATTTTTTATATACCTACATAGGTCTAAAACTGTATTTTTAATCACATGTAAAGTACCAAACAAATACATCTATTGTTTTATGTATTAGAGCCGTAAATCGGATGACGATCTTTTTAAATTATCGTGTTTAAGAGTGTTTTAACCATAGACAGGTGTTTTATTTTCTTACCGAAACAAAAACTTTAATATACGGTACATCGATTTAAAATATTGTGTGACATTACCTACCTACTCGTAGTTTTACATAAAAACAACGTAGGTAGTCAGCTACCGTTACAAAATAGTATTGTTTTATAAACAAAAAAATACTTACGTTTCTAATATTGTTTCATAAACTAAGAGACGGTTAGTCCGTCACATATTTAAAAAAAGAATTTGCGCACGAATATAATTTTTTTTCGAATTAAAAGTAAATCTTTTTGATGTTCTAATTTATCGTGTCGTGAATATAATAATATTGTTTTTTGGTCTACCGATTATACTACGGCATAAGTTAGGTTCGTACATATCTCCATAGAAAAAAAACTTAAAAACAAAATTTTTATTTAATAATCGGTAACGTTCTACATATGAATATATGATACCTACTTACCTATTTATATATGTTTATTTATTTTTATTTATTTAGTATGATGTGATGTTGAATATACCTACCTAATAGTAAATATATAGATTTATCAATTTAATTAAACTGTTAAGTTTGAGAACAATGGTTTACATATCTAGTGCAGTACCATTTTAAATTTCAATTAAATATAGTTCTAGTCGGCGTAAATTCAGTGGAACTGTTATATATGACTACGCATTCTTCGCATCTAGGTCATATTTCTGAACCACGGCGGTTAATACTGGCTGTTCTAACATTAATATAGAGGTTATAAATCGCTAAATTGCTACTGAATTTATTTAAGCAAGCAGCTCGAAATTATAGATTTATTTAATTGCTGATCTAACTCCCAGGACATATAATCGCTACGCGTTCCTTGTAGGTATCAGGCAATAGATCGTGTCTATGCACAAATTTAAGACCTAATTTTGTGCCTACTAACTTTGGAACCCTATCATAATTAATTATTGACTTTAAATAATAATTTCTATTATGTTTATTAACTTATCGGGCTATCTATACCATTTTTAGACTAAATGCAGATACAGCGTTTAAACAAATGACGGCAGCATTTGTATTGCCCGATTTATAGGACATAATTTTAAATTGTTAATAACAATAAGCTTAGAGTGAGTGTCGGTTATAAATTCAGTTTTATATGCATAAATACAACAGGGTATGAAATATGGCTGTTTTAATTTATAATCCAGAAGCAATAGTTATTTTAGTGACGTTAATCGATTCAATAAACTGTGGACGATCGTAGTGGGTACCTACATGTCTACGTGTAAGTACAAGGAGATTGGAATAATCGATAAATAGTTTGGCGCGTGAACTTTCGTCGGTGCAGTGTCCCCGACACTTATTGTAATTTTAAATGTGATTGTAAGCAGTTGGTTCAGGCACTAGCGGTTACCGCCTAGTGCCGCCATCTTTAAAATCACTAACCCGGGACAATGAGATGTGCACACTGGTTTTAATAGAAAACTGATCGTGCAAATTATGCGAAATTTCAATTACTACTTAGTACTTTGTTTTCATTAATACTAATCTATTTTCTTTTTCATGAAAGTTATTTTTACTTCAGAAGGTTGGTTAAACGAAAAAAGGGGTCTTTAATATCTAGAATGAGTCCTGTCGACTCTATATTCGTTCAAGGTCTGGTTTCCTGGGTATTGTTCGGATGATTGACACGTTTTTTATTATCATGCCGTATTTATAATAAAAAGCTTTGGCCCCTGGATTTGGAGCGGTCATTGAGTGCACCCTCAGAATAACTCGACCACGGTCGATATGAGGACTAAACGTACAAAGTCGGTCAAGGTCCCAACAGATTTGGGATATATCGTTTTAGAATAGAAGTGCAAGCACCTCTTTTTTCATCGTTACCCAATTTAGGAGCTATATTTACGTTGTTTTGTTAAAAGGGTAGGTTGACGGTTGTAACGAAACCAAAACCAATTATGTTTTATTTGCTACGTTAGGTGTATTTTCCAGAATTTTATTGTCCGAAACGCGTGCTTGATTTTGTAGTCTGTTGTTTAACGCGGTGTACCAACAACCGCGTCTATCCTTCGGGTACAGAGCGCAGGGCGCAGTGACTACGGCGTTTGCAACTATGCGTAGGCTGTGACAGGTTGCTGGCTTGTCTCTCACTACCATCACATTAACCAGTTCTTAACAGTCCAATCTTATGGTATACCAACTTATACACTTACATTTTATCACATATTTCTCGTGCATTCCTAAACATTCAAATGGTTAAACATTCAATTTGGGCCCTAATTTTCTTTAAAAGTATAAATGAATGTTAAGTGGAACGTTTCGGCCCTCAGTGCAGTCGGTAGCCTGCTGACGACTACAGATGGGTTTAATATTTTAATTTGTAAACCGTTTGTTTGTTTTTAAACTCTATTTTATGCAAGACATGCAGTTCAAATGTGCATTAGTCTTTCTTTTTTATTAATGTAGGGAGAAAGGTTTGAAGAACTTTTCTAGTCGTATTTACTACGATATTCAATTGTATTTTTCCAATACTCAGGGAATGTATTCGAAACATGGTGTAAATAAAGTTAATATTTCACGAAGGTTTGTGGTTTTAGATCTTAGTAGATAAAGGCAAAGGAAAAGGATAGTAAAGTTCTCAATGTTTTTCAATAAGTAGGTAACACCTAACTGAATTTCAGTAAAGAATTTTATTCTAGGTTTGATTGATCAAATGACATCTCGTAGCTGACAATCGTTCGCTTAGAAATTCTTATCAAAACGTAACTCAATAGAATTCTAGTTTGGCTAAATTGTCAATTAAGTATAATGATAATTTATTGTATTGCACGCTAATACTTAATGTCAAGCCGTCAACCTGTCATCGGCTACATGGTAATATGAGTCAGAGTTAGGAGTGGTCACTGGGAGTAACATCAGTCAGTCAGTGACCAATGGCGATTGTTAGGTATTTAATGACCAACATTGTCATACTTAACCAATCATTTACTCGGAAAATTGTCAATTACAATACCAATATCAGAAAATACAGCGATATACCAACATAATTAAATCGAACCAGCGTTTAACATATTAAATTTATATCCGCGAATTAATTTTAATTAAAATGTTTTTGAATCTTATTTTTGGAGCAAAACTTAACAAGTTAAATTAATATTGTATATTAACTATGGCATCTATACTTTATCAAGTTTCGAAAAATATTCTGCAGAAAAAAATGGCAAAACAAAATAGACGTTAGATGGAAAAAAATCGAATCACAACATTTTTAGAAATGTGCTAGAATCTTCAGGAATAATAACAAGTGAAATAGAATATATTATCTTACATGAAAATATCACTCGTGCATCATGTTTATTTAAAAGAAATTCATTGAAAGTCATCTGGGCTTCTGGGGCAGTCACATAAATCATAGACACATGCTTCTAGACAAACACATATCTACATAACCGTTTCTTAAGGTACCTCTGCGAAGGTATGCAAGGTGCCTTTGTGATGTTTTAAACTTTTAACCCCGGCGCCATCGTAAATAAACTATATTTTATTGATAAGACCCTTGGTCATTTTCGGTAACATACGAAAAATGTTACTTTGTCAAGCATAAATAATCTTTTTATGACGAGAAGCGTAGGTAAAGGCTCAAGGATTTAAAAGCAATAAATATTTTACGACATGAATTAATATTCCGATCGTTTTCCGTGACGTTGTTTTTATGACTTATCATTTTTGTGGCGCGCGGCTCGACGCGATGGAGCGTCGCAAGCGCAGCTTTACTCTACTCGCTTGAAATATTGGCTGAACCGAGTATAAAACTTGTATCATCATAAAAATGCTTTTAACAACCTTTATTTATTATCTAAAATATTGAATTAATTCATTTTGTTCGTATCTACCTACCTGCTAATAAATGTTTCACATTATTTCGTTGTTTCTGTAATAAGTTTAATCATTATCTATAGGTCAGTTTTTTTCTCAGATGTTCATTAGTAAGTTTTAAGTGCGAACATTGAGATTAGTTAAGTGCAATGTTGCAGTTGCAATAATCTTTAATAATGATAAGGTAATATTAATATGGTGGTAATAATAAAATGAGTTGAACCGTAAACGTTTGCATATTATTTGGTAATGGCCAGTATTTAAGTAGCGAATTAGCGGTGATGGAGATAACGAAATGTCATTAATAATCAAAATACATTCAAATGATTGTGTTAAGTATGTTACATTTTACCATGGCCAAGCCTTATCAGCATTTGAAACTGGTTCATAACACGGAACATGTCTTTGATATTCAGCTAGAAAGTGTTTGTTAGTAATTTGATTCATATCAGTGTTTATGGCTTGTGGGGGTTTAAGTTTATTTATTTTCTAAGTATTTTAACGGAAGCCTATTCAGAAACTTTTGCGGTTTGCGTGCATCTTGCGGTCTGTGCATCTTTATACAAAAGTCGGTTACTTGAGATCCTCTTGAGCTTCAACTTACTAATTGAGATGTTAACTGTGGTTTAACTATAAAAAGAGAAGACAACGTACAGGAAAAGGCACGTTACTCCGGGAAACATGTGGGCAGGTATACGTTTTACATCGATTAATGTACTTGGTGCCCGTATGATATGCAAAATACATTTTATCGCAAAGTAATAAATTAATGACATGACGTACAGTTCAATTTGCGATTATCTATAAGGCAGAGAGTTGGATAATAAACAAAGTTTAATTATTATCTGTAGATGGAAGCGATGTTAAATGTGGCCGGCACACGGGTAACAAGTGGTTGCATTTTGTGCTGATATGAGACGCATTAACTTACAGGCTGTGACATCAATAACAAAAGTACTCGTTTTAATTATAAGCCATTCATAAAAGTTGGACCGCGATCAATAAGGCAGTACATAGTTTTGATTAAATCGGAACAAACGAGCCTACAAGTTTGCGCAGTTAGTCGTCGATTACTCGGCGAGCCGGCAACAGCTCGGATGCGAGGCGACGGAGGAAGACAACAGCTAAAACTAATGCGAACTAGAGGCGCCGACTAGCGACTTGTAATTACTGCCTGCAAAATTAATGCACTGAAACTTGGATGAAATGAAACCGGCGCACGAAGTTAGTCGCGCGCTACGTCGCTTGTCGATGTCTCGCCTTAAACTTGGAATACGATGCCCCGCTTGCAGCGTGTTATTTATCAAACACCAACTATATACTGCTTGTATGCAAAGAGGGGTCATTGAATGCATTCAATATGATAGAACGATAATCATGCATCACTACCGCTGTATAAGTTTAACAGAAAATATATCAGAACATCTGGTTACTTCTAGTTTTTCAAAAGTCTTTACATAAATGAAAACTTGACTCTTGTAGAATGTTAAAACGTTTGTATTAGACGGTTCAAGTGAAATATGCATTTCATTTAAATTAGGTATTTAAGTGTCATTTAGCATCTAGGAAAGGAATTAAGATGTTTAATCTTAATGCCGTCAGGAAGCGGAAAATTAGAGAAATTGTTAACCTACTTGTACCTAGATAGAGCTACGGACCGGAGTTAGTATTTTATATTTTAAAAGATTTCATTATCAATGAATTTCTTTAGATGTAGTGAAAATTAGTGGAAATGTCGTAAACATGTACGCCTTGCTATTTGTGTAACAATAAAGTATGAACTGGCTAACAGCCAAAGTCACTCGATCTGAGCTACGAGTTCGTATGTGACTATTATCTACATGATAGTCATATCACGGCATTGTTATAGATACGTCAGTCGTCAAGTAGTTTCGAATAGTAATGGACTGTTGGTACCTGAGCTTATTTAGTCTGTAGAATTGTGGAGATATAAATTTCAAAGGGGGTATAAGAAGCATTTCAAGAGACAAACCTTTGTGGAGAAGCCGCGGTCGCAGACGGTGCATTTAAAGGGTCGCTCCTTGGTGTGGCTCCGGTAATGTATCTCCAGAGCGGAGTTGCAGGCGAACGTCTTGTAGCAGAGGTTACAGGTCGTGTTGCCGCGCACTGTACACAAATAAACCCATCGTTCAATGCGGTTTCGTTGTCACTAATTGTACAACAGTCGGAACGCACGATTACACTGTTTTGTTATCAATTATTGTAACTTCTTCCACTTTTAGCTTTGGTCGTAGACTTTGACGTGTATTCGAGCGCCCGGTGATTTATTTATTAGTGGTGGGCGAGGATCAAAACAAGGAAATGGAAATGCGGGCGACCGGGGCGGACGAAAATATAAGATCCCGCTATCGCATACCTGCGGGAGGGAACGCGAGTCCGAGCGGGCTGAAGGGCGATCCTCCGAGCGCGCCGAGCGCGGCGATAGGTGTGGGCGGCGATGGCAGCGGCGAGTGCAGCGGCAGCCGCGGCGGCGTCGACAGCGTCGACATGGTGGGCGATGGTGGCGAGGCCCGCGCGCTCCGCCCGCTCTCCGAACCTGTCGCCGATGGGAGGGAAGCCGTTGTGGTGATGGTTTTTATTTCGCTTTCGGACGCCGAGGCGCAGACGGAGAGCGGCGAAGTTCGACGATCCTTCATATCTAAGTCGTCGTCGAACTCCCGAATAGCGGGCTCGCGCTCGTCCCGGCCGCTCTCATCGTCGGTCCCGCGGGAGTCCGCCCGTCGGTCGCCGGGAGTGGTCGGAGTGGGGAACATTGGGCGCGGGAAGGGGCGCTGAGTTTGATAGTCGCTGACGTCTGACCCGTTACTCAGGGATGGAAAACCTTCAATGTCGATACTTCTCATTTGGTCATAAGGAATGTGAGCGCGTTCGCCCGTGTGAAGTCGTATGTGTTGGTGTAATATGGTAGGATCCGAAAATTTCTTATGGCAAACTGGACATTGATGTAACATTTGAACTGGAGGTTTAATGCGGTGAACACCCATATGGGTTTTCAAATTACCTTTAGTCGTAAAAGAGCGGCCACATAATTTGCATCGGAAAGGTCTCTCGCCGGTATGAGTCCGATAGTGCATTTGTAAAGCACTTTTGCAAGAGAGAACTCGGTGGCACACAATACATTCGTTGGGATCGGACACTTTATTGTCAATATTGTCGACTAACTGTTGAAGTTTTGATGTTTCAGATGTCTTGGTTATTTCTATTAAACTCTCCCATGAGTTATCATTACTGCCCGGTCGGGGCAAAAGTGAATTATAAAACATTGGATCACGTGCCAGATCTACATCAACGACGTTTTGAACAGAGTTCGGAAAGGGAGTTAAACTACCAGAGGACATACTGCTGGGTGGAGACTGTGGGAATAAAGGAAACGAAGGAAAAGTACGCAGTCCTGTTGCTATTGAAATTGGCCCGGATATCGGTGAATTCTTACTTGAGAGATTTTCCGGTTGATCTGGATCGGGCTTCACATGAGGACTCTCTCTGCCGATTTGTTCTTCATTGCTATATTTTGAATCCATGCTGCAGTCGTCGTAGGGTGAAGTTGAAGGGTATCTATCTTGTTCAGGATCCTGTGTGGCGTCATTTTCGTCAGGTTCTCGCTTAGGAGACACACGATCAACATCTTCAAAACTGGATTCTCGATGACATTCATCGTCTTGTGGTTCAGACTTAACCTCTGGTGCTGATTGAGAAGGACTCGGCGCGGATGGTTTACTGAGATCTGCCGGAGCGTCCTGTTCCTCTCGCATTGCAAACAGTGGATGCGGCGGTAGAGGTTTGTCTCCGAGTGGACGAGGCGGTAATAAATCGTGGTGTGGGGGTCTGTACAACGGCAAGCTTGGCGGAAAAGGAGCTGGCGCACCCGGAGGGAATTGTAGTGGATGTGGTGGCATGCCAGGAATTGGTCCCGGCGACAGCTGCGCTAACAGTGGGGGATGATATTTATCCAAATGCTCTGGTACTGGATTAGGATTCATCTTGACATGTGGAAACTTTGCTGTGTGTCTTTGGAAATGTACTTTGAGATTTCCTTTGGTTGTAAATCGTGATCCACATACATTACATTTAAAAGGTCTTTCACCTGTGTGCGATCGAATGTGGATCTGCAGCGCAGAGTCGCTTCCAAATACTTTTCCACAATAACGGCAGCGATGCTTGAAAAAAGGTTCATTTCTTCCTCCAGACTTTCCGTCATAGGGTGACATTTTTCCAGATTTACGGAACGCAAGTTCATCGGCAAGATTATTGGCTAATAGGCCTTGTGACGCATTGTCTAGCACTTCTTGTGCTCTCTTTTGTAGCATTTCAAGCGTATTGGGTTCGTTGAGAGACGGTGGCGGGTCGTTGTTTGTGATTATCGAAGATGCTAACGATGAGGAAATGGAGCTATACGGTGGATGGGACATCATCGGTGGAGATGAGGTTGGAAGTTTAGGAACGGAGATAGGTTCCGTCTTAGGTGTAAGATGCGAATGGGTTGACGGTAAGCTTTGACTAGTAGGAGGAGGGGGTGCGACAGGAGTTGGCTCCCGTGGCGGACGAGGCGGTGACGGCGATCGAGCGGGAGGCACCGGCACTGGCTCTGGTTCACTCGGCGGCGGGCTCGGGAGCTGATCATCTTTCCGTCGCGTTAACGACAACTGGTTTTGTAATTGGCGTATTAATTGTAGTTGAAACACTTGTTGATGCTGTAGTGTAAATAACGTACTTTGTAGCACGGCTAGTTCATGTAACGCCGCTTCGTTATCGGCATTGTTCGCCATTGTAGTCGCAGCGAATTGTGCTACGGCGACTTTAGTATTCTGCAAAGCTTCGAGCGTGACATGGCCGGCTACTGGGAAGGGCAGACCGACCGGTGGCACGTCGGCTTCAGGCACTTCTGCCTCGCCATCTTCGAGGCTGTTGTTGTTTTCCGCATCTTGTCGATGCCGTCGGACTTGTTCTAATCGTTTGTTAGGACCATCCATTTCTTCGTCGCCTGAAACGACCATTTCCTCTGGGTCGGAGTGCATTCTTTCCTCGCCCATTTGCAACGCTTTCTCATCGCATAGTCGCTTGTGGTACAGGAACTCGTGCAGGTTCTCGAACTGTTCCTGGCAACGAGGACACATGTGTGCTTCAGGTCGGTCTCTCGTTTCATCAGAAACATGGTTAATATCTTCTTCGGAACACGATCCCGAACTGTCACCTAGAACAAAACAATTATTTGTTAAAATTATGTTCAGTAAGCTTACTATTGATTTAATGTGATGATAAGTGTGATGGGGAGTGTATTGACGAGTTTGGCATTAAAATATGTTACGATGTGTGAGTGTAACAAATGAATTTAATAGTGAAGGCACTGTTAAATCGCCCGAATTAAATACGCGATCCCCAACTGTAAGCGCTAGCAGTATAAGCATACATGTATAAGTAGGCCTAAACAGATATTCGTCGCGTTTTATTAACACCTAAAACGTTTCTTCAGACTCCTTCCTATCCCTAAACACGTTAAAGTGCTTTCACATTCATATTGACATAACTTATTTTATAAATATAAGAGGAAAAGATGAATGATACAGTATCAAGGGGGAAAGTCCCAAACGGTGGTTTTGTTTGATGTGCACGTCCCTTTTCGAGGTAGAAAACTGCTGTCACAAGATTTCACTGAGTTCCCACGAGAATATAAAATTTGGGATAGTCACGTTACGATGGCGAAGAAGTGGATTATATTCTTTCCAAACAAAATGACGTGATATGGGTATTGTCATTTTATACGGAAAATATTTTACAACTTTGATTTATTTTATTTGCTAAATAAAAAGGTATGTAAATAAAATTTGGATGTTGTTTGTTTATAAACACCGCAGTGAAACGTGTATCTAACGTTACATAACATGTAGTATAGTAGGCACAGCAGTTTTAGTAGGTAATGTAGAACTGTTGTTTAAATTCAATTGCAATCAGTTAAGCCTACACTAAAACGTTGAAAACCGGCTACTAAATCAAACCTAAAACCCACCTAAATAAGACAGTTATACTTCACATTAAATATAATAAACAATTTATTAACGTAACCGCCGAACACCTTATTTCAACTAACGTTTACGAATACATTTAGTTACTAGCTACTCAGCAACAGATGTCGCTAGTAGTACAATGTTACCGCGCCCGAAACCGTTGTTTAGTAGCAACTTTGTGACAATAGACACGAGAAGGGTGGAAAGCTAAAAATATCGCGATAGAACATTCGCATCGACGCCAAACTTTTATACCGAAGTTTCGGTACGGGAATATGCGTACAGTTAATTAACAAAGTATTCAGTTGGAATTTAAATTCAATTTCGTAGTTGCATGGATACAAATAACGTTATTAAAAGTTTTAATTGCAGGTATGTATTATAATACGCATGATTCATTTAGTTTCATTATTAACATAGTTATCTGTACATAAGTTATATACATTGTGAAATAGAGAGACATGGAAATGTTACTAAGTATTTATGAACGAATTAATTATTTCAAAGAATGTAACTACTAAAATACGCTATAGATAGGTATAGCTAACAGAACAAAGATGAAATTAATTAACCTTCCAATTTTTTATCATCAATATAGCAACGTTGATGGTGACATTCTTTTATAACAAGCTATTTTTTTCTGAGAAATAACAATAGGTCTGGAGAGGACCAAAAAGAATTCGTGTGACTCAGGACTGTGGGCAAAAAGGCTTGGTCTTGTCTCTATTAGTTTTGGGCTTTGAAAAATATCGAACTTATTTTGTAACGTTATTTTTTATCTGTTTTTATAGGTTATAAAAACAGATAAAATAGATATACGGATAGGTACATAACTACATACCTAAGTAATTTGAAATTAAGTATTTGCGGTATTTAAAGTCTAGCTAAGGATACTTTTGTCCACAATAAAATCACAAAATATTTTTGTACCCCTAACTAGATCAGTTCATCTACTAATTAGCAATTGTTTTCAGAACAAAATCGTTGCTAAGCAATTGATTAAGTACTTAATTGTTAAATGTCTATGAGAGCGTCAGTTAGACCTTGAATCGAGAAAAAGACTGAAATGTTTCTAGACCAATTTTTATTCGTAGACCAATTTCAAGAAGAATAGAAATATGAATGACTTCTTTTCTACCTCTACCGATTTGACAGTTAGAAAAATCATTGTCTTACTTCATTACTAACCTTTTTTAACCTACATTATTATACTAAGCATATAATCAGGCATTAGGTCACCTAATTAGTTTCAGATTTTAATACGTTACTCGCCACGTAGGTCAAAAGAGACCTTGGGTAGCGGAGGATTTGCCTTCAAAGATTTCTCTTGGCAGTCAGAAGATTAACACCTTAAACGCTATGGAAGGCTATAAAATGACCGATGATATTTTAAGAATTTTGCTGACATTAGTTTTATCTAGGCAATCAGTAGTTATTATGTTTTTAAGTGCTATACAATTTTGGTTAAAAGCAGATAACTCAATTAGAAGTCTGAAACGGAATCAGTTCCTTTATTTTTGTATGTAGGATCTTTGAACCCGGAATTAAAACTAGAAACTTTCATACATTTACAGTTGTTGCATTAGTATATTCTAAATAACATAGCTGTTTATATATTAATAAGTATGTAAGTAGCATTGAATACAATAGAATAGGTTTGTAAATGATTTTAGTTCCTAACATTAGTATTTTATTGAAAGTAGGTAATTTATGCCTATTTAGCTTTAAAAGGAGGTTTTATAAACATTTAGGTAATTTTAATTTGTTTTAGTTTTTAAATGGAGAAACGATGCTTTAAATCTCCAGTCTTCAAATCCGCAACGCACTTGTAACTCCTTGAGGTTGCAGGTGTTTAGGATAAACGAGCAGGCAGGTCACCTTATGGCGAGCAACCCACCACCAAAATGGGCAATTTGCTTTTTGGAAATTGCGAAATTGTGGATGGGGTGGATTACGGCTTTGATAACCTCACTTGTTTCACGTCTGTTTTCTTTTTTTTACAATTGATCTTTACTCGCTGTTTATTATAACTTTTCTTACTAATTGTCTGGCTTTGTCTGAGTTTGTCACTTTGCAGTAAATTAAAAAAGTGTTGAGTTTTACTTTTGGAATGTCATTTCTATTAGGATTATTTTTGTAGGTATATTAAACTATTTGCTTTATTGCTAACTTGGATAATGTCATGTCACCTCTTTTCGGCGTGCGTTACTGCGTACGGAAAACGAAAATTGCATGAGATTTTTTATCTCTCTTTCTTTTCAAATAACTTTTACCAAGGAATTGATTGTTTTGTTGCTTACATTTCTTTTTGTGCGGAGAGTAATGTAGAAAGTAAATAATATAAAACCCTATCAAGTTGTAAATAGCTAAGATAAATTAGTATTTAACACGAATGAATCCCAAGATAGATTGGGAGAGAATGCTAAAGACAATATTTAGAGGTTTTGTGCCTACATTTGTTTGTGCTCGAAGACATAAAATAAATGCTTAAATAAGTAAATTTAGAATTTTAGACAATTGATCTAGCCTACGTACAATAAAATTACCGACAAATCCAATCAAAAGAATACGAATTATTTCCTATAAAATTAACTTGTTTTAAATTGAAATTGATAAATAAATTAAAATTGTTTGAATATTCATTCTATAATTAAAATTAATATGTGATGCCAAATTTTTTCTTAAAAACGCCTATTTTAAATTTAGAAGGCATAAAGTCAAAAATCGAACATAAACAATTCGAGAAAGTTTTTAAATTTGAGTTGAGCGAGTCTCAAAGCGATTGGACGAGATTTAGTTTAAATAGAATACCTTTAAATCCGCTGTATTTAAAGAATTCGAGTTCTAGTGACCCTTGAGATTTAAACTATGGAGTCAACAAACAGATTCCTCTTTGGAGTAACATGATTGTAGAGGCGGGTCAAGGATGTTTGGAAAAACGAAGATGTTTTCGTCAACTGAGCTTATCTTACATTTTGTCTGTCATACGTCTAAATAACAATTACCTGTTCGTAAACAATACCATAATTAATAATATTAAACCTCTTTAATATTATTATAAACGCGATAGTTTGTTAGAACTGGAGAGATGGATGGATATTTGTTACAATGATGATTAATGGTGGCCCAGATCGATTTAAGCTACTTTTCAACTGGATACGCAAGCGAGGTCGTTAGCTAAAGTAGTGCTACATTTTCCGATTTAGTTAATGATTTTTTTTTTGGTAAAATCGTAAATAAATAAGTACCTAATTATTTAATCTATGATGTCTTTTTGACTTTTGTCATAAGCATCAACTTTGATTAATTTTAGATATTTTTTTTTGTCCTTTGAAAGTTACCTAAATACGTAGTAGATTTGTTTTCGTTCAGAGATATAAACTGGGCAAGCACCTTTAGAAATTGCTCTTGTGTAGAAGAAAACTGATACAGTCAAGTAGAATCTTCTTCACAAGTGTGTGTGTCTAGCTTATATGAATTTACAAGACATATTAATAAAAATATAAAATTAAACGCTCCGTGCATTTTAAAAAATAACTCGACCTACCACTTAGATAGCGGCCCTGCTAATAACATTTAAAATGTAAGATTTCCAATCAACCATACCTACATATTTGGAGCATAAATTTGCTTATCACCAACTACAACTTTCACCGCGTTCATATTTTAAAATATATCTTTTATAGCCACTACCTGGTTGGGGCGTAATAAAGTATACTTTTGAATATTCGTTTCATAATGCGAATTTTTTGTGGTGTTTTGTAAAACTGCCGGATAAGTGAGCACCGGGTTACACAAAACATGATATAATCCGGGATAATGTTGCGGCGGGGGATTAAATAACTCATTTGTAGCGAGATGCCGGTGCTTTACTTCTTGGAGGATTAGTGGTGACTGTTTGTTGTATTTGACAGTACGGTTTAGTTGGAACGGCACCTTGCAAAGGCTTGTAATGTCGCGCGCCGCCGCTCCGTCATCTTTGTCAAGCAAATCTTGGGCTCGCCGACAATTGTCCAACGCGTACAGCTAAAAGCTTTATGATACTTCCTCTTTCACTCAAACGATGGGACATTTATCAATTATATTGAGTTGGTCGGTAGTTTTTTTTGTTGAATAAGTTTTTCAGAATTTTAAACGATAGTTAATAATGTTGACCAGGCAGTTCATACGGTAAAAGTATTGTAGGTAGTTGAAATATTTTTGTGTTAATAGGAATTTTGTTATAATTAATTTCTATAGTTTAGAGCTGCCGTACTGCTTTGAAGAAGCTGCTAAAAAAAGTTACCTGAAATTTTAAATTTCTTCAAATCATAATTAGAAAGCAACATCAACATGCATGCTTGCCTACACAAATAATATCTAAATAAAATAATTGAAATATTTTCTCCTTAATACTGAACTACAGTTTTTTCCTTAAGATAACTTAATTAGGTAGTACTATTTGTTCAAAAATGGAAATTACTTTAACATATGAATATATAGTAAGTTGTGATAATAATGTAATTTTTTGCATTTCTAATAATTTTGTCATTAAAACGAAATAGCATTCCGAAGAAAAACTGTTTATTTAAGTAACCTTTTTTCTTCGGCAATGTGTTATCGTTTGTATAGGTAATGTAAGTGCCGCCGCGCTACGCACACTTCTAAAAAGGCTTTGGTACGCCTTTGGCTTTCATTGGCCGACATTGTTCAACGCGGTGACAAAGCTAACTTATCTATCAGCGTCCCTTTTCATGTCCAACAAATATGTTTACAATTATTTTGAGAGCAACACACCGCCAAAGCGTTACATCTTAAACGTTTATAGACCACTAGATAGGTGCCATTAATGTTATTATAATCGCCATTAAAATATGTCGACGCTAATTAATCAACTGACAGAAAGTCTATAATTTATACATCAACTGTAATTATTATTCATCATTCAAGGTAAATGAACGGCGTTATGCATAGTGATCTTTCATTTTAGTCCGAATTAGAACCGGCTTAGATATTTAACGAGTTTTGTTTTTTTTTATTTAATTTATTAACCGATCAAACAAATAGAGAATATAAGTATTTCATAAGAATATGAATTGGTTATTTGAATCGTTAGCAGATAGAATGTGTATAATAAATATTTTATAGAGCACTCGTAAAACTAGCAATGATACACCGACCTTACCGATTGCCGGCCGCCATAATGAAGTTTGACAACGCATCATTCTGTTCTATGAAGACATTTCTTTTTAATCAGTTATGGCCGATTATCATTATATCAACGCATTAAAGCGAAATATTACTAATTTGGAGCTCACAGAGCAGAGCTTTCATTTAGAATCCATTTAATTTCATGCTAATCAAAGCCAAGAAAAATTAGAAGCAATGATAAATGAAAAGCGTTCTATTCGAAGAATGAAAATGGGGAAGGAAGGAATGTAAGAACCGACATTCAAACAACACCCTCGGAACATAAAAAAAATGTAAAAAAAGCGTCCGTTGGTTTTGCAAAGCATTCAAATATAGAATTAGAATTGATTCTTAATTTAGGTAAATCAAATGAAAATTATTGTGCAATTTCTTCAAAAAAATTCTTAAAAAATAATTATTTTTATTATTAAAGTACACAGAAGAATCGTTATCTATATTATTAATATTAATCCTTTTTTTTAAATGAACGGTAGAATCAAAACCTCTTTTAAAGATTTAGTCAAATCAGGAAGTCACACCGGAAGTAGGGGGGAGGAGAGGGGAGAAAATTGCGAAACGGTTAAATATTAAATTTCTCACGGTTAAAAGAAATGTTTTTGAGAAAATGAATTAGAATTCAGTCGTGGCTTGTTGTAGCTATATTTACATGTGTATTCACGTCCCTAGGAACGTGATATTATTTTGAAGATAACGCTACTAGAATAAATTGATTATCAATACACTAATAAAAATTTCAAATGATCTCTATATTGACCCTATGCTCCGTTTGGTATTATAAGTAAGTTATAAACTATACTGTGATCTATAAATAGTATTTACAAGGTTATTATATTAAGATCAATGCGGTAAAGTGAATGATGAACTGTGAAATTATTTAATATACGGGCAACGCCGCGGGGCGCCGTTATAATGTGCCATAAAGTTTATATTAGATATGCAAATATATGTTGTGTCTATATTAGACTAATATACAAAGTTTATGATATACAAACTATATAGATTTTTTCATCTGTCCGTTTAGCTGCGTAAGCAACTTTGTATGTGTTTATCATAAATAAACTAAATTATAATTAATACTAATTTAAATCAAGTTTTACTGCCGATGGTCCAACTAGCCAAAACTCTCTCCTACGCAATCTTAAAAATAAATCCTTGATAGATTCGAAATATTAAAAGGAAATTAAATTTTTATCCATAAAACGACACACATTTTTAATGCTTTTTCCTAATAAGTATAGACAGACCGCCGTTATTATAATTATGCATATTTTTCTATATTATAAGGTAATATATATAACTGTTTATATCCATCAGCGTCAGATTTTTATTACTTGAAATATTTTATTGAAAAAAAACATACAAATAATGTATAAATTATTAAGAATGAGTAAAATAATAATGATATTTAAATAATTATCCGTTTAGTGTGAACAATAGAAAATTTCCGGATATATGACCTGGCTGAGCCGTCGCTACATATGATTCATGCGTGCATTAGTTTTACATATAATATACAAACAAAATATTCCATTATCATAAAACTTTCTTATAAACGCGTATCATTTTAATATGTGTAGGTATTAAATGATTTAACTTAAATCTCTTAGTAAAACATTCATAACGGCCATAAAACATAAGTAAACACTGCGTTACGAACCATAAAATGGTCCTTCATTAAACATAACTAAAGTATTTTGTAAAGAAACAGTAAAAATGACATCATAAATTAAATTATAAATAATGTTTCAATGATATCTGTCCGGATTATTAATAGTTGTAGCCGTAAAGTCAGACGTGATGGCTAATAGTTTGAATGCAAGAGAATAGCCTACGAACAAATGCTAAGCCACAATAAGCTTTCTATTTATATTCGTTGTAATAAACATTTTGAAATTCGACCTATTGCTAGCTCGTAACCGTTTTTTAATTGGACCATTTAAGATATTTAGCGCGCACCACTGCGATAGCCAAGTTCGCTACACTGTAGCCGAGCGTAGCCACACGTATATTGCTCGCTAACTATTTTATTTTTACATCTTTCTCTTCCTCAAAAATGTCAACTGTTCCGGTCAACTCATAAACATTTTCCACCAATTAACAACATTTTCTACAGCTTTCTGGGATTCAATTGAAATCATTTCCAGAACAAGCTTTCAGTGAAACTTAATTTTTTTTTATTTTAACAATTAAAACTTAGAATACTTGGCTTTATAATTTTTTCTTGACAACCGGATTTTTTTAATTCACTTTTTCAAATATAACTTTACCACTTTGAAAGTTTTTCAGTTTTTACTGACACTTAGTTTTTGAGTTCCATAAAATACAAACTCTACGTACCTCCCTAAACAGGTTCCTCGCAACTATCTACAATATGACTGTATAGTGTAATTCACTGCACTGTTTACTCACCCCGTTGGTGACGGATTTTAGTGCTCACTTTCTGATGTATGCCAAATTTTATCGTCGCTAACTGAATCATTTTATCGGTACGAATATCAAATCGTGGATTCAACAGTAACGTATCGACAAAAACACAATAATTCCTCGTGAGAGTTGGTCACAACCGGCAGAGTGAGATGTGGCACAGACGGCGTGTGTGATGTGGTGAGATGTCGGAGTGGAGAGTTAAGTACCGATGGAGACGCGGCGGACGCAGGAGGGCTTGACGCGCGGCATGGTGAGCGCTGGCGCGGCCGGCTCAGGGCGCGCGCATGGCAGGCTCGCTGCACACTGCTGGGACACTCGCGGCGCCGGCTACTCGGCTCGGACGAAGTACTCTGTGCGGAGCGGACGCGGCGTGTGACCGGGCGCACCACTCGCCATCCGAAGCGGGACTGAGCGCGAGGCGGCGGCGGGCGGCGGGCGGCAGCGCGCGCGCGCACCAGGTATACGGTTATGACAGGGAGGCGGGGCCGCGCCCGGCTCATAAATCAAACTTCGCCCATTCGCACGCGCTACACGGGCCCCCCTCCTCCATATTCCATATTCGGGGCGGGGCATATTTTCATAATCATAACGCCTCATATTCATAAGCGACATGTGGTCGCGAGGAGGTTGGAGGCGCGCGAGGCGGCGGTGGGCGGCGCTGACGCCCGCTAGATGGCGGCCGCCGTCGCCCCGCGAAGCCTCCCACACCACACACACTAATTGAACTTGCACGTCATAACTTTTTGTTTGTATCCAATAATTATTAAATGGCTTTTTTAATTGCTCACAGATAAGTTCTCGGTAATTTACGAACATGAAAACTTGTTGTGTAACTTTGTTAATAACTTACTAATCGATTTGCATTTATTAAATATTTATTTCGCTATTGTTGTTTTAATGAAGTTTGCAATTTTGTATTTTTGCCTTTACGTTTTTTACTTTTACAATAAATTACAAAGGGATTATAGTATAATTAAATGTTCATGAATAGTTAAGCAAGTCAACTTTGACTGGTTAGGTTACACGTGTTAGCTAAGTAAGTGCTTACCTATAATTACCTACCTAATTAATAACTCATAAACAATAAGTGCACACACTTGTAAAAGTAAATATATATATAAGTACTTATTAAGAATCAAGTAGGCACTAAAAAGTACGCAATACTACACGCTAATTGCACATATAACTAGGTAGTGTTTATATTTTTTTTTAATCGAGGTCACGCTAGTAACTGCCTATTATTTACGCATTCTATACTTCTAGTTCCACGTTCAAATTATTGTAACGTCACGATCCAAACTGTCGGATCAAGCCAAACATACTTAGAAAAAATAGTTTTATAATTAAAGAGCATCGCAGCAGGGCATCGAAAGCACAGCATCATCTTTACACTGGGTACCGTGTAAAATCCTTGCTACCGACATAACAAGATCCATTCAGAGCTCCATTTTAATATCTGAAACAAATTTACGAGTTGTTATGAAAAAAGCGAATGCCGGGAGCCATGTCAATCGCATTGTGTGCTTTAAATTAAATATAACGAACGTGTGACTGTAGCTCCACCGTCCAATATTAATGTGATAGAAGCAATTTAGTCGATTCTGCCAGTCATCGGATCGGAATCGACTAAGCCGATTCTCGATACTATTTCCTTCATGTCATTTGCCTTGGATGGGGTGGATATTTTTTTTAATTAACGAAACTATATTTTCGGGGTTCGGATATTTTGTTGCCAGTATGTTACTGAGTTTTTGTTCATTACATTGATTTGATTTGCTCTTTGATTTAGTTGATGTGATCGTAATAATTGGTGAGATACAAATACTTTTTGGTATTTTTGTGTGTGTGTGTGTGTGTATTTGTTTTGTAATTGTTAAATGTTTAGTATGTTTGAGTTTATTTGCATTGGTTTTAAATCGTACTATCTTTTACATCTAGACATAATAATGTAATTAGTAAACACAAACCAAACTTAAATAATTCCTGCAGTTCTAACGAATAAAGTTTTTGGACAGTATTTCTTTGCCCGTAATAATTCTTCAATAGTGTTTACATACAACTAAGACTAACAAATAAGACTTAAAATAAGTAGTGTACCTGTAGGTACGGACCTATAACTACAAGTTACTTATCTTAAATATATTCATCCTTATGAAAGAATGCTTTCAAAATAAATGTAAAGTTACAGAAGAATTTCAATCCATTAATCGGTGATTGTTCGGAGCCGCACTAAATTAGCGACATGGCTCCCTTTTGACTTACGAAATCCCAAGTTATAATAAAGAGCACAAATAGATATTTCAGGAGCACATTAACCGCACTATAATTGCCATTAGAAATAATTAGCCGGGAGCTATGTTGTTGTTTTTAACCTCAACCGACTAAATAATTCCTGTTTATGATGACACCTAATCCTTATGAATTTAATGTGAGTTCCCTGAACGGCACTATGGAGGTGTTATTTCAGATCCATCAGTGCGGCAGTTAAACAGAAATAGCACCAGTAACACAAGTCACATACGATTTAAATACACAAATTTTTGAAAACCGTCTGTTTATTTAAACTAAAGCACGCGTCGCTAGACGCCCGCCTCCCGCTCGCTCTTGTCTTACGTTTATTTTGTTTGTTAGTGTTACAACATGTTACACATTACTATAAATTCATAAAAATAACGCCCAAACACACACTACCTGTTCTTTAACGTTAAGACACTTTTTACAACAAACAGGTGTCGAGGGTGTGGAAATGCGAGTTAGTTAGACCGGTGTAATGTAGGTTTATGTTAGGTAAAACAGGGGTGAAATTTTTAAATTGACCGTCAAAATAATGGCGGTTTAAATGAGCAGTGAGAGTGAGTAGCGCTGTTAATGTGGCGTAGCGGTGGCGTAGCAAGCTGTAGCAGTGGCGTAGCTATTACGTAGCAGTGGTGTAGCGGTGGCGTAGCGCTGTCCGGTGGCGGTGGCGTGACGGTGGACGAGTGACGCGAGCTAGGGCCGCGGTTCGGACGCGTTCATAAATTTGAATATGGAAGTGAGTTCTAATGGTGTCGCTGTTTATTTTTACTGCACCCCCCGAGCCGTACGCCCGAATGCGACGCCGAATTTATTTCCATGCATTTTAATATCTCCCTCTGAATAGCTATTGCCATTTTCACGCGGTTTTATTGCGAACTCTATAGTCGTGTTATGCTCTTTGTTTTGTTAGGCCCGCTTTACGATCCGCTGCGATGGACAATATCGGTCGATGAAGCCTCGTAAGGTTTCGAGGGAGCATCGAGTGTAATTAGCACCGTTCGGAACGTTCATTGAGGCGATAATAAGAGTGTACTGTAATCATGTAAATTTCCTCGTTTATGAAGCAAATTTCTGGAAGAATACCGAGGCGAGTATGTCAGTATTAAGTCATTAAAGTGGACATTGATTGATTGGAGCTTGTGCAAAGGGCACGCATCGCGGAAACGCACGCAACACTTGTGTCGAAACACTTGAGTTTGTTCATTCACTTGTTTACACTCCAGTGAAGCGTAACTCATATTTCCTTTTACACAGATAGTCATCTAAACGCGCGAATGAGATAGCAATCTGCAGTGGCTGGGGATGAAGATAGCTTGGCAGCACCCCTCGCCTTTATCCAAACCTGCCGGTGATTTAGTTAATTGTTCTATTTCAATATCATAATCCTAACGTAATCCTGAAACACATTACTTCTCAATTGCTGTTTTGATATTACTTTTAGAAATTAATCGTTTGAAATAATATAAAGTTTATTTACATTTTCATTAGAACAAAATCGTATTTTAATTTGGTGACATATTAAATTCTGTATAAGTTATTTCGCAACTGTAACAAACATAAATTGAGACAGAACACGAGAGCACCTAATATAGAAACAAATTATGAGCATGTTGCCAACAAAGTAACCGTCTTAGTTTAATATTTTCTTGTTTCAATATGTTTGAGAAGTTGCAGGCCGACGTGCGTGTCAAGTCATTATTATAGCCTCCCTCAGACATTGAGATGAAATTTTAATACCTTAAATTATACAGAAAAATATTGTCGACGTAACTCGTTTACAAACAACACTTAACATGTCAAAATGATGGCTGTATGAGAACAGCTCGTTGTCTCAAATGCTCTTTGGCATATTTACCTGAACACCGTAATTATGGTTGCTTAACTAAACGCGAGTCTCATTTTTATCAGTTTATTTTAATACACGTTAACCTTCAAATACCTATGCGAAAATTAAACCGCAATTATAAAACTAGGAATTGAATTATTTTAGTCATTTTGTGTTTATGCAGATGTATGTGAGCGTAGTGACTAAACACATAGAAACCGGTTCTCAACGATAACATGGTCGTTTCTTATGTTTGAGTTATGGTGTCAATGTTAGTACACTTTGTTCTCTTTGTATTAACTTGTTGCCTAGCTGTCGGATATTAATGATATTCTAATGGGAAGTATTAGTCGTCCTGATATCGATCTCGCACAACAAACATTAATCTTTATTGTTTACTTATGTAAATATGTACTCACAGCACATACATAATGTGCTGTTTATGATCTATACTGGTATGGCAGCGCCACTTATCTATTATTTTTTTTTTTTTTTTTTTTTTTTTTTTTTTTTTTTAAAAAAACTTTGCCCCACTTTAGGATTTTCTCCTGTGTTGTGGGTGCGTTTACAAACATACAATGTCACATACACATGACACCCAGACCCGAAACAACAATTTGTGGAGCACACAAAGTGTTGTTCCGTGCGGGAATCGAACCCGCGACACGTTGCACGGCAGCCAGTTGCCCAGCCACCGCACCAACCGTGCAGTCTTTATGCAGTTCTATTATTGAATAGCAAATCAGCACAAAATATAAGTGGGTGACGTTTAGACATCGTCGGTCCGTCCGCCGGTTTAAAGGGATAAGTAGTGCACAAGTTGAAATATAAATCTTGCGTAGGGGTGTTGGTCGCGGGTGGTGTCTCTACTGAAATATAAAAGTGTTCGGGGGCACTCAGCGGCCGGACGCTCATATTTTGTTATTTTATTTATATTAAAAGTAATGGTTCGCCGCGAGCCATAATGCTCTAGATGGTTTTTGCGCATTTTTCTCTTTTCTGTGTGTCGTATATTTTCACTTAAATGACGTAGGTACGTGACCGTCGCCGCTGTTCGCTTGTAACGTGCTTTATGTAACGACCCTAATGTATGGGGAGCTTAATAAAATTACATAATTTAGTAGCAATTGCTCATTAGGAAAGCTTACTTTATTAATGGGAACGGGAAACTGATAAGTTACTAGGGTTCCACGAATGCTAAGAGAATGTTTTCTTTTATAGATAATGTTCAAATTATTTCAGCTAGTTCGTAGTGGCCTCGGTAGTACCAGCTCAAATTGTTAAACTTACCCCTTGGAATTAACACTGCTATTGCTTCCCTATCACGTAAAGGATCATGAGCGATAATCACCTTACAAAGGCACAGCTAGGTAACACCTAATACATTGTATAACTACATAATTTTATTTAATTACCTTTACTTACATAGTTCCAGTTCTTAGGTGCCGTCTCAAAAATACAATGTACAAAGCAGCGAGTGATTTATTGGTGTATAAGCACACATTAATGTTAACAAAGTGTATCGAGCGGCGCTGTGCTGGTGTGCCGCCTAGCCTGCTGTAGACGGGTAACGTGCTACACCGACATAGCGCCGTCAATTTACCTACCATAGTTTTATGCTATCATAAACAAGAAATACAGACATCTTCAGTATAATGTAATGTAGGAAAGCGGTGGGCGCCGTGTGAACAGAAAGCGGGCAAGCGTCCTCGAGCGGTGACCGTATGGCGTTTGTCGTAGAGGTGATATTCGTGGGCCGTGCGGCGTCGTAGCAAGTGCGGGTTGGCAGCAATCTGCACAAGCAGCAGCGAGGTGTAAGCGAGGTGCTGAGGTGGCGCGCGACGCCGCGGCATAGTGCACCCTGCGCCGCGGCCGCAAGGGCTCGTTCGGCGCGGCACGAGACGCTCGGCGCGGCGCTGCGCGGCGGCGGCGTCGCTCTTCCGGGGAAGGCACTATCTCGGGTGCAGCAGGGAGGCGGCCACCCCCTCGTAAATAACGCGCGCTGGCGAGCCGGCGAAGCACCCGTGCCAGATTCTACAGCTAGAAACAGTTAAACGCTCATAATTTCGTGCTGGTTAAGCTTATCTTTGTCTCGTGTACGAAATTTCGCTGCGCCGTCCCCCTCGCGCGTTTTCGTGGACATATTTTATTTGTTGCAACACAACGTTCTGTCGCGTCCGGGGCCAAAGTTATAATTGTAGTTCGACATACCAGTGCAGCTTCTGCATAAAGTTGCCCAGCGACGTTTACATTGTTGAAATAACTTTATCTGGTTAATGTTTTAAGTTTACTCACTTTGATTTACTCCAAACTCTCGGCTAGATTAACGGTGCTTATTGAAGCGTTATTAGTTTACCATTGAGACTTCACTTCTTAACGTTCATGTTTCTAACGATTAAAAATGTATTGCAAATCAACTGTGAAAAAGTATTAGAAGTCGCGTCGATTTACAGTTGAGCCGGGGTCACGTGGTGGTGTGGTGTCAAGTAGGTGTTGCCTGGTTGACTCCACATAAACATTTATGCATAACTAGAGTGTCGTATAACTTTTCGCATAGATGTACGGTGAAAAGGCATTCGAGCATGGTGCGATAGTGCGCCGAGGGTGCTGGGGGTGGGTGGTCCCGGGCGCTGGGGGGGGGGGGGGGGGGGGGGGGGGGGGGGGGGGGGGGGGGGGGGGGGGGGGGGGGGGGGGGGGGGGGGGGGGGGGGGGGGGGGGGGGGGGGGGGGGGGGGGGGGGGGGGGGGGGGGGGGGGGGGGGGGGGGGGGGGGGGGGGGGGGGGGGGGGGGGGGGGGGGGGGGGGGGGGGGGGGGGGGGGGGGGGGGGGGGGGGGGGGGGGGGGGGGGGGGGGGGGGGGGGGGGGGGGGGGGGGGGGGGGGGGGGGGGGGGGGGGGGGGGGGGGGGGGGGGGGGGGGGGGGGGGGGGGTGAAGGGAGGTGGTGTTAAGCCGGTATCATCCCGCCTTATCGCGGCGCGGCGGTTTCATAATAATTTTAATACTCCGGGCGGCAACCCGCGGATTTCCGGCGCATACTTTTATAAGCGGTTTTGGTTCCCCGAAGAGCCGGGTGTCACCCTCGCGTGCATGCCTTCAATCTCCACCTCGGTGAGTTGCCGCTGACTACACCCGCGGGATTCTTTTTACTTTTCTTTTGACGTTTATTGCCACGTTTTTGGCTTGTTTACGTTGTTTGTACAGACAGATTTAATTTGTTAAATAGATGCTCTTTATTAGATTTCTCCTGTGACATTTATTTTAATTTTTATTTCGTTCAGGGGATGCTTACAGTTCATTGAAATGTCTATTAATATTGTAGATAATAAATATCGATGCACTGGTAAAATAGGAATTAATAGTTGAAATGATAAATATTCAATGAAATATCTGGAGTATCATTTATCGTATTACCGATATTAGGGCTGCAAAAAGCCCCTTAATTAGGGGCAGAGGATAGCGTTATGCGAGATCAGCCAATTTGCCAAAATGGATATAACAAATGACAGGAGTAATAGAGGCGGTTGAGTGTAACATTAATAGAGAGGCAGGTAGAGCCGGGGGGCGGCACTAACGACCGTTTTTATCCAGGGCGGGCGGATGATGGATGGACCTACTTCCGGCCGCGACGTCCGCACTTCCGCCGTTCCTTTTGTATATTTATCAACATTAATTTCAATGTGCTACAAGCTATATTTGCTTGTTTTACTTAGACATTTTTCAGGGATTGCACGACTACGTTGCCCGTTGCCGTTGTGGAATTCAAATGTACTATTTCTTTACTAGTATAAGTCTGAGATATTTTTATCTGTTCAACTGACTGGAGTACTGGCTGGATATTTTAAGCATAAACAATCGAATAAAGTGTAATTCATTAGTGTTGCGAGTTATTTTTGTTCACATAAACGCGAGTGCAAAAATAGCCGGATAACACGGCTAATGATGACGGACATTGCAAACGGTTGCTTTATTATGGACTCTCCCTATTTAACATGACAACATTATACGGGGAATGAATGCTGATAAAAGTCTGACAGAGATTTACGTGAAGGGAGTCTATGAATGCAACTAATTCTCACAGTACTATTTCTCAATGAGATGTTCAGACGGGAGTGTCTAGATACTTTATTTCTTATGTACGTGTTCATTGTTTTAAATATTTCCTTAGGGATTATTTGATGTATTAGTTATGAGTCACGTTGGCTATTTGTGTTATGTAACATACTTATAGCAACATTAAAATTGTTTTTATTAATTCTTGTTAATTTTTTTTTATTTCTTTAAATAATTAGGGACTTTTATACCGCACAGCGTATGTCAGTCCCATCGTACCCTAACACAAGTTACATTTAAACGAGATCAATGGATCAGGGCCATAAAGTCGAACAACCTTCTCGCATCATCAGAAGTCGGTCTGCTTAAAATATGATGGAATGTTCCTATATCGTTCTTGTTCAACTTCAAAGCCCTGAACAACTTACCCCTATCAGCTGTTAAATTATTATTAATGTTGATAGAGAACAATTATTAGTTCGATTCGAAGTTGACATCTGAGTTCTTGTTTACTTGATCACCAAAGTTACAAGTGCCGGTGACGGAAAGAAGGAAGAAGCCGGCCTTTCCGGACTTAGGTATTTGAGGATTGGGGGGTGAAGGAAAAAGGATTGAGTTACCAGTAACCGGTAAAACAATGCCAGAGCGTTGTTTCACGCTGCTATTCTATGAAGCCGTGGTATCACTCCGATTAATTTGTACGAAAGCATGGTTCTCTCTCACTTGAAACTCTTCGTGTAGGTAAAATCAGTTTATGATAATTTCACAATTGAAGTAAACACGTTTTTTTGTGTGCCGTTCTAACATAAATTGACGCGACAATTAGTGAGTTCGAGTTACATTTTGTATAACATATGCAACAGTAAAGCTTATATAGGGAACTTTTTTAATACCTTTGCGTTTTAAGTAAATAATAGGTATGTACATATAAAACGGAATGAAAAGTGTTAACAAATTGTAACACAAACATAAAGATAGTTGACTTGCTCGTCGTTACTACCAAACGAACCAGTTTCCAATAAAGAATAGTTCTACAGATCTTATCACGTGATTGCTATAAAGTTTTGTGATATGCAGTATCTTGTTTTTTTTAGAGAAATCATCAAATGACTTCTACCGTTCTGAGTGGAGCGGGAGGGAGTGGACTCTTACTGACTAAAAACCAATTCGTTCCTTCATCTGCTCCAGTCTGAGGCCGCGGTATCTTATTGCTATCTCATTCTTACCTAGGTTAATAATGATTCGCTTTTTCTTTATCACTTAAGTATGACGTAAGGTCAGTTAAGTATGTAACTGAAAACTGTCAAACGTATCTTTAACTTAAATATTATAGTTAGTATAGTTAATACCTATTTACTTATGATTAGTTATGTTACAATTGGTTAGTAGTAGTAAGTTCTATGTACATGCTTAAGGTATAAAGGTTACTTAGGAATTACTACATAAGAACTACTTTTTTCGACCTAAAAATCGACACGATCCTTTGTGTAGGTTTTAATTTGAATTGTACAGAAAATATATGTTTGTCGTTACGGGCATACCATTGAAGCTATTATATTTAATCCGCGAATACAATTAAGTTACCATCCCACGCTAACTCAAATATGTGACTGTCATAACTCATGTGCGAAACAAACAAACTATAAAACATTTTAAATAGCAATTTATGCAAATAACAAAATGAATTTATATTCGCGTTCATAACACGGTTTACACCGAGCGCCGTACGTACGCAGTGTATCTATATACGACTAAGTTAATTGAATTTATAGGCACGTCCACAAATGAATATGAGTACTCCACTCGCAATGTTTTCTATACTTAATGACGGCTTATTAAGTATTCGTTGTGCCTCCACAGAACGGTGAGAACCTCGTAACATAAATTTTGCGTATTATTTACGTTGACAAACGTGCATTATGAAATTATAATGCCGTGATTGATATGCGGGAACGCGCTCGGCCGCGACAGTGGAACGTGTGAGCCCATGTCCACACGTACCTTATTGTACTAAATACTTGAGCGATGGACACTAGCGCCGGCCTCAGATAACTGCCAACTTTATTATTCTCTCGCTCCAAATACCATCGCTGTGTAATCATATTTACCCATACAAATAAACGATATTTACATTCCTGTGAATCCAAACTACGTCATACATCAAACACCACAACTGCATCCGTGTACAGAGGTATTACTAAACACCCGCATATTTTTACACCTGCACTCACGTCGATCGATAGAAAAACATGTAATCTAATATATTAACCTACTTACGAGTAATGAAACAAAAACGAAAAGTCGAAACACTAACGAATTGTATCACCCTGTCGAATAATCAGGTCGAAAAGTCACAACAAATGTTAGAAAAGTTTCGATTATAAAGTATATTTAGAGGATTACGAAGAAGTGTATGATCTACTTACACATACATTGACGTAGTTTCGTGGATAGATTCGCGCGAGTCGAAATAAAGCGAGCCAATCAATATTAACACGCCGCAAACAGCGTAAATTGTTGCCTAATGCCATACCCGCACACATACACGCGACCCGTCCGTGAACTAGTGCCTACACTAGCCAGGGTGCTCACTTTCCAAACGAACTCGGGAAATACATTTCCCATTTCATAATGTGCGTGTCTCCACTCAGACATACGACGTATTCAGTTCACCTCTTTCGCTGTTTAACAAGAGATTTACGAGTTTTAAGTGTTATTAGACTAACTTATTTTCGTTGACGTTTAATATGGCAAGCAAGATACATTTCAAAAACTGAACAATATGAACTGGCAAAAGCACAGGTGTATTGTATCACCCTGTATGCTGTGCGTATTACATTTACACAAGAAGCACACTCACACATGGTGCGCGCTCCGTGTCGGTACTAACGCATGCACGCACACTACACGCGCCGGCCGGCCTGTAATAACTCGGAACCACAATAAATCAATGTGATTAATGTCATTAAGCACTGTGTGCCGGCCTCTCTATA